CAAATGATAACTTCGGAACGCATCATCGTATGTTCCACTGTATAATTATTTAACATTTTCTTTAACAAAGCCTTAACAAATATGGCATTGTCGATTTTGTAATTTAATTTTCTAACGAAAAATGCCATAATATACCATGAGTTACATTTAAGATTCGAAAGTTGACGTCACTTGACCGAAATTGAAGTGAAAGTGGTGAAATTGGATGACAATGGTAGAAGCGGCACAGAAAGTTACCCAGATCCTCAAAATTTCAATTATATTGGACGACGCGTTCCGAAGTTATTACCTGGGAAAAACTGGTTTGCCCACCCCAGAGCCTTAGGCTGGATACGCCACTGCTCTATCGATTTGCTTTTTAATAATAATAATGGATCTTACTCTCCTGTGCTCATCAAAAAGATATAAACTAGCCTTGCCACACTTTATTCGGTTATGTAACCTATTTTTATGCTTAAAGTTTCTCACCAAACCGATTGAAAACCATTGTGGATATTAGCCTATCTAAAAACAAGTGACTTTGACAAGCAAACAAAGGGTTTGTGTGCCTCTTGGCGGACATTTTAATTTAGGTTTGACAGCATTTTGGATAGTCTAATTTACAATGTTTATTTTTTTTTACGTTTAGAAACTGGTTTTTTGGTAACTGTATTATCCAAGCAACTATGAACTAGAATCGTTCTAGACATATTATCTTCGGATCAGAATTTCAAGAATTTGTAAAAAGATGGATTTCAGGAGTCATGTGGCACAAATGATGCAATTTTCGCATTTTTGGAGAAACTATATTTGGGATTAAATAACGGTGATGTCGCAGCAGCGGTTTTTTGTGATTTGTCAAAGGCCTTTGACTGTCAATCATAAAATAATGTTATGTTAGCTGGAAGCCTATGGGGTGAGGGGGGTAGCTCTAAAGTGGTTTGAGTCCTACTTTTCTGAACGGGCACAGAGAGTTACTTTTGATGGTGTTGATTCAGAACAACTGGCTATAAGTGCAGGAGTTCCACAAGGATCTGTTTTGGGACCTCTATTATTTTTAATGTACATCAACGATCTGTCTAGCATTGATATAGTTGGGGTATTTACACTGTTTGCTGATGATGCCACGATTCTCTGGGTAAATAAGGATGTAGAACAGCTTAAATCGGATATCAATAATGATTTAGTTAAGGTAAAAGAATGGACTGATGCGAATTGTTTAACTTTTAATGTGTCGAAGACAAATGTGTTAACATTTAAATGTGGTTTTGAGGGAATTACCTTAGGGGCAGATACTGTTGCCAGTCAAAAATCGAGTAAGTTTTTAGGAGTATACATAGACGATAGACTAAAATTTGAGCCTCACTTAACATACGTGAGCAAAAAGGTGTCATCAGGATATTATGCAATCAGAGTAATATTGAGTAAGCTAGATCTTGGGACAACAAAAAGTGCATACTTTGCTCTCGTTGAATCCCATTTGCGGTATGGAATATGTTTCTGGGGTTTTTGTTCATTGTCTCTCTTTAATATGTTGTTTGTGTTGCAAAAGAGGGCGGTAAGGTATATGTTTAAGATAGGATTACGAGACTCATGTAGACCATTGTTTTTGCGTCATAAATTGCTTACATTTCCTAGTATTTTTTTACTAGAGACTTCATGTTCGTTCATAAAAAGTTTAAGGAAAACATACACGAATTTTCATCTGTACATACCACTTGACAAACACACAATGTGAACCTTCCTATCCCATCCTCCACACAAACAAAAAACTCAATAATCTATCAAAGTAAAAAGATCTTTAACCATTTGCCACTGCATCTGAGACAGATAGTATCTGGTAAAAAATTTAGAGTACATCTTAAGAGGCTTCTATTATCAAAGGCCTACTATAGCACAGAAGAATTTTTCCAAGATGCTTTCTTGTGACTGTCTGAATATAATTTGTAGTTTTATTTAATGACTTCTATGTCTGTTGACTTTACGTTTGTGCAATTTTGATATTTTGTATTTTATATTTTAGAATGACTCCATCTTTTGTTTTAATGACTGTTTAAATGATTTTATTGTTTTAGTCTGACCTTGTATTGTATTTTTATTTTGATTATTTCAATCTTGGTACTCTATGGCCCTGGAATTATTTTTGTATAATGTTTTTTTTTTTCCCCTTTTACAGCTTTGTCAACGAGAATTTTGTTCTTAGACAATAAAGCATTTTTTGACTTTGACTTTGATCTTGCCAGTTAATTCCTTTAAATAGCATTATACAGATCCAAAAAATTACCATTTGCATAAGTATACTTATAAGAAGGCAATATACCTACTTAGTATTAAAATCACCATCCCTTTGACATTTAACTTGTGTTAACACGAGTGTTAACATAAAAGTCTGTTTTTTTTTTTAAAGATAAAAGTCAAAATGACATTATGTTGGCAATGCAATGTAAAATTGTCAATGGGTACATTCAGGCGGTCCCAGCGGCTAAGCTCAGCGACTCAGCAGGGACTTTATTCTCGAATCCAAGGAACAGCGTTCTCATAAGAACGATTGCTCTGTCATTGTCAGTGTTATGCCGGACGACAAAGACAGAAACTTCGTTCCAATGAGAACGCTGCTCCCCTGTTTCGAGAATAAAGTTCCTGCTGAGTAGCTGAACTAAGCCGCTGGGACCGCCTGAATGTACACTTGGCCAAACATAAAACTGGTACATGCAATATATATTTTTTAAATTTGCCTAGTGTGAGTCAGGCTTAATAACAAAAAGTCTGTTCTGAAAAACTTAGTTCAGACAGTTTTTGTCAACGTGAAACCTGAACAAAAGTATCCCTGCGTTTTTATTCTCATCAAATTTTACCGATGGATCCACCATTTTATGTCGGTCATTGTCATTTTCCATTCACTAAACAAAGATAGCTAACTCATCGGTGAATCCACCGATGAGAATAAAAACGCACATTATATAAATGCAACATGTTTTTATGTTATGATTGGTTTGAATATGACACTGACTTGACTCTTTTTGTCATTTGTCAAAAAAAAAATAAAAATATCAAAAATTTTTGAATTGCTTCTTAAAAACCAGCTATGTGAATACTTTGAAACAAACAATCTCCTGTCTGCAGATCAATTTGGTTTTCGAAGGGGAAGGTCCACAGTGATGGCAGTTAACAAACTGTGCGAAGCCATAGTCGGGGGCTTTGAGGAGGGCAAGTTTGTGGGAGCCACCTTTTGCGACCTCTCCAAAGCCTTCGACTGTGTCTCGCATGGGACTCTTGTGGCCAAACTGAAGTATTATGGTGTTGCCGGGTGTGCTTGCAGTCTCATACAAAACTATCTCACAGATAGGCGACAGATAACAAGTGTCAATGGTGAGAGCTCAGAGAGTAGGGTGATGCTACATGGGGTCCCCCAAGGTTCCATACTAGGACCTTTGCTTTTCATAATCTACATAAATGATATAAAATCTGCGCTGCAGCACAGCGAGGTGACACTGTATGCGGATGATACCAGCTTCTTGGTGGCTAAGGGGGAGTTCAACGCTTTGTGTGAGGAAGCGAGCGACTGTGCCGAGAGTGTGGGTGATTGGTTTCTTGCCAATGGGCTTTCTCTCAATCAAACCAAAACCGAGAATATAACCTTTACCTTAAGACGAGATGAAGAGATCAGTAATCCTACTCAGATAAAATTTCTGGGAGTCATGCTTGACCCCAAACTTACTTTCGAGTGCCATGTAAACCATATCTCCAAGAAAATTACATCTGGAATATATGTACTTAGAAATCTGTGTAGGACCACCAATTTGAGTGTCGCTCTAATGGCCTACCATGCTCTGGTCCATTCCGTCATTTGCTATGCTCTGTTAGCCTGGGGACATTCGGCTCATGCCTCTAGAGTGTTTGGTTTGCAGCGGAGGGCAGTGAGAGTTCTGGCTCATGTCGGATATCGAGATGACCCCAAACAGTTTTATCGTGATTTTCAGATTCTAACAGTACCATCACAATACATTTATGACTGCCTACTGTACATGCACCGTAATTTGCATAATTTCGCGGCTCTGGGTGAAACACACCATCATGATACCAGACATCGCGACAATATTAGGATTAATTTTCTCAGACTAGGAACATCAAGGAATGCAACACTTTATTTTGCTCCTGTCTTTTATAATAAGTTGCCTGTCTCTGTAAGAGAGTTGACAGCTCAGCGATTCAAGTCTGTAGTTAAGAAATATTTGTTAGGCCAGATTTTTTATCATTATAGGGAATTTCTGGATAGGGATGTTGCTGCTGACTTTGATCTACTGTTGTGACACTGTGTTTTATTTAATTGTTTAATTGATAAATTAGTATCTATGATAAATGACAAATGTAAAAATTTATAAATTTGTATACATGATTATTTAATAAATTGAAAAATTGAAATTGAAATTGTTGAGGTGATAAAAGGTCGATTTACACAATACAACACAATAGGAAAATGCGTACCAGTTTTATGTTTGGCCAAGTGTACCTACCCATTGCTTCCAAATTTTTTATGTAGAAAAGGCTTGTGTTGCCAACATAGTTACCGGGATAGTTACTAAATTTTTGACTTGGGGAAATTAGCTTAAAAAAAAAAACAGACTTTACACAAGGAAGGATGATAAGAGTCCTCAGATATTAGAGGGGTTTCACATTAACTAATTATTTATTATGTGCTTCTTAGTCTCCTTCCACCTGATTTCAACAATATATGGTTTGATTTGTCTATCTCTCGGTCTATCTTCAATAGTTATAAAGGGAAAAACATGAAAACTTTTTTCAAGGTTTCATGTTAAAGAAGGAAAAATTCTCGGAAAAATTATACCATTTTAGCTTGAGAGAATTGTTTATTTATGAACAACTTATTGTTCAAATGTTCTTCATTGTAGTTTTTCCATTAAAAAAAAAAATCTTTTTTTGAGAAAGATGTACTTTAAGTTAAGTTTTGATCATATTCTTGTAGCACAGCAATGTAAAATTATAATAATTCATTCACCTACCTTCCTAATAACTTCAAAAAGCACCCCAAACCTCTGACTGTAGCAACCTCACCAGTGTACGTTACAGTCATATTTGATAATTTCAAACTTACAAAACAATTCGTAGCTATTTAAAATTATAAACTTAAATTAATAATATCACAATTCAGGTTAAAATGGGACGATTTTGCTTTGCATCACAAGATTGCCAAAAACGTGATTAACGCTGGTCAAATACAAACACGCGAAGTGTTTATTTTCACAGAACAATGATTCATTATCTGTTTCACTTTTTAGCCACTCTACTTTTTACTGACATAACTAATTATTTATAATTATGGGTTTTCAAGAATAGTTAAGTACACAAAGCATTGCAAGGACAAAGGGAAATGTTTTTTGACTGAAAAATTAGTTGAATTGAATGAAATGTATGTTGTGGGTGGCACTAAATACTAGAGAATTTCGTGCAAAACACCCACGACACAGGAAAAATCACTACATTTACTTTAACAGCCTACACAAGTGCAAAAAAGCAAATAATAAAAAGTTTACAACAGAAAGATGAGCAAAACAAATTTTTTTTTTTTGAATGACAGTTGTTCAACTGTCAAAAATTTTAAGCTGGGTTCGGCTATTCAGCGCAGAGTTGGAGTGGAGTGAATAGGGCTAATGGAGTCACCCCTAATACGTTAAAAAGCAATACCCGAACCTTAACCCGAACGGCTGGAGTGCGAATGGAGTCACTCAGAGTGTACGGAGTGAGCAAACCGAACCCACCTCTTGATGAATTCGAGTGGATTCGACTCCGTGCACTTTAAGTACTCTGCGAGTACTCCAACCGTTCGGGTATAACTTTTTAGCCTAAATAGAGTAACCGTGCGTTCGGTATTTTGATCTGAGTTTTCCGAGAATAAATTCACCGTTCGTTTATTTAAAAAGTGTACACGGTGCAGGCTCACTTACGTTCGTTTATTGGAAATTCGAGGCCTCTGATACAGCGTTTAACTGCTCTGTGCGCTCGCTGCTCAGGTGATCACAGCTCCGCTCTGCACGCTCTGCTCTTCGAGCAAACCGTGCGTTCGTTATTTTGGTCTGAGTTCTCCGAGCTTGACTTTACAGTTCGTTTATTCAAAAAGTGTACTCGGTGTATCCTCATTCGCGTTCGTTTATTAAAATTTCTGGCACTTTTATACAGCGTTCAACTGCTCTGTTCGCTCGCTGGTCACGTGGTTACGGCTCCGCTCTGCACGCTCTGCTCTTCGAGCAAAATACCGAACGCAAGGAAAATACGCAAGGTAAATATGACGAGAAAATGGAGCTCACTCCACAAAGTTCTAGAACAGGAAAGGAGATTAGAGTATAAAAAGGTATAGCGTGTTCGACTTTTGCCTCAAAACTGCACCCGATTGGTCACAATGGCTGAGTTCGGCGTGGACTCCACGGAGCGGAACGGTATGGGTATGGATCGGGTACATTCAGGCGGTGCCACCGGCTAAGTTCAGAGACTCAGCAGGGACTTTATTCTCGGAACAGGGGAGCAGCATTCCCATGAGAACGAAGGTTCTGTCTTTGTCGTCCGTATTCATATTTCCATAACACTGACAATGACAGAGCAATCGTTCTCATGAGAACGCTGTTCCTTGGTTTCAAGAATAAAGTTCTCGCTGAGTAGCTGAGCTTAGCCGCTGGCACCGCCTGAAATGTACCGACATCATATTACGTTTCACTAGTGAAATGTCATTGGTATGGATATATATCGTGACGTCATACGCGGTCATGAGTGCTGCCTTCTTTCGTACAGTGGCTAAATAAACCTTTACATACAGTGGCGACAATAGAGGTCCCGCCGCCATTTTGTTCCCAACCTCTTGTTACTTTTAAATATGAATTTATAGAATTTAAATGGACATCCTTCATAAAAAATTGAAATCGACGTATTTGATGACTATTATTAGGTCCATCAAATACGTTGTTTTCCATGTTTTATGATGGATGTTCACCTAAATCCCATATATTTATATTTGAAATAAGCAATAGGTGGGAACAAGATGGCGGCGTTTTCAATATAAATATATGGGATTTTAGAACCAATCAAAAATAAGACAGCAATTGTCGCCACTGTAGGTGATAGAGTCACTGTATTCTTTCGTACCGGATCAAGAATACCGGGATCACCTGGGCTGGGATCACGACAAGTAGAATTCTACTTCCATGACGTCACCCGCGACCTATTTATCGCGTACATTAGAAAAAAATACAGGCGATGATGACAGTTGCTAGGCAACCTGACGTCATGAAAGTAGAATTCTAGTAAAATTCTACTTGTCGCGATCCCAGCCTCACAAAGCGTTATGATTCAATAATCAGATTCTTTCGCATTTTTAAATTTGACGTTTGCGGATCATGATTCAAAAACTTGAACATACATTTTCTTTTTATGATTAGTTTGTTGGCAGGGGAGGGGGCAATATGAATATGAATGCATCAAAATTCAAACGTATGCACCCGAATACGTCAAGTTAGAAAAAGGAATTATTGCTGCGACTTGGGAGCATTCTTTTGGGAGGGAAAATCGAAACATGTTCCACTGAACATACGAATCGTGATTTTGAAATCATGATTCAATTTTGTTGCGAAAGAAAGCAACTCTTGCCCAACGCAAAAGAGAACACTCTGAGAGCTAAAACGAACAGTGTCTTCCAAACGGCGATCCAAAACGTATTCACATGTTCGGCTTAAAACGGAACATTGCTCTCGGCGAGATTCACGTATTCGACTTGAGCAATAGCACTCAAATCTCGCACGGAGCGCTCTTTCTTGCTCCGTCAAAGAGTTTGATAAAAACATAAAAGGTCGGTTCCAACAATTGAGCGGTGGAAATAGACGACCACGGGGCTTGACGCCCCGATCAAAAAGAACGATTTTTTACATTTCAAAATCGTGATCCAGGGCGTCCTGGGGCGCCCAAGTCCCTAAAAGGAAAGCAGCTCTAGAGTTCATAGCCGTCTTCTCGCGTCCCCTTTTTTGACATTAGTTCAAAAAGGTTCGAAACAAGCAATAGTTCTTTTCAAGTGGCTCCGGTTAAACTAACCGTGTTACAAAACGGTTAGAGAAATGACATACCGTTTTCTAACCCGGTTAAAGAGTGACGTGATGGATACCTACCACTCGAATTTGAGCGGTATGTTGCGGTTTGTTAAACCGGAGCCACGTGAAAAGGGTTAATGGTGTTTCCATTGGGTACGGCGGTGCCAGCGGCTTAGTTCAGCCACTCAGCGGGAACTTTATTCTCGAAATAGGGGAGCAGCTTTCTCATTGGAACCGTTTTGGAACGAAGGTTCTGTCTTTGTCATCCGGCGTAACCCCTAAAAATGAAGCCATGAAAGACAGATGCCACAAGGGGGAATGTTGTTTTTTTCTGTTGCTCGCTGACATATGACGTTTTCGAAAGTTTTGTCATATTTTCCTTCACAGGTTTCATCAATTGGATTACGTGTTGGAAGCAATTTTTGCCATTTAACATAATGAGTGCGACAAAAACAGGTATCCCCTCCGCAGCAGCTGCACTAGGCTTCACGTTCTTCCTTATGTGTTGGCATTCCAGTTTTTGGTTATAGTTCATTGGGCGTAACACTGATAATGACAGATGACAGAGCAATCGTTCTTATGAGAACGCTGTTCCTTAGTTTCGAGAATAGAGTCCCTGGTTGAGCTTAGCCGCTTGGACCGTCTGAATGTACCCATTGACTGTTTCAAGCTGGTTTAGAACCAATGTCAAAAATGTGGACGCGAGAAAACGGATCCATGGAATCAGATCTGTCATTAATCGAATTTTCGCGACGAACCATACTTCCATGATTTCATGAACACAAACGCTTTCGCGAGAAACTCATGACGTCATATTGAAACTATTTTGTACTTGTTTCTATGGTGGTCTTTCATGGTTCTTATTTTCCTTTGCTGTATAGATATAAGATTTATATGATAAATAAAGGCCAAAAACATTACAAGTTTCAAATCCAATTGCACCACGATTCAAAAGAGCAGGGAGCAGGTGCAGAATTTATTGCACTTGGGGCAAATAGTGCCGAATAGGTGAATATGAAACTCGACTAAAAAATGACGCACTCGACTGGTGCAAGGGTGCAAGGTTTTTTCATTTCTTGTGCACGAAGCAAAATCAAACTCGAATCCAACTGAAGTTTTTTTCAATCAAATCAAATCGAACAGGAGAAACGAATGCTGTGAAAACAGTGCGCAGCGAGTTTGTACTAGTGTACTAAGTCTATTTTGGCTTGGTGCAAACTGAACTTCAGATTGCAGCAGAAAAGCAAATTTTTCTTTATTTTGGAGGTGGCAAGTGGAAAGGAAAATGAAATCGCTTTGGTAGCTTGGGCTTGATACGGCAACCGGCAACGTTGGATTTTGTCTGCGCTGATCAGGCGCTGATTGATGCAGTCTTGTACTGGATCCTATAACAAATATTACCAGTTAAAGAAAGTGAAGTTGGATAACTATAATTAATTTATTTCAAAAATTAAATTGCGTGTTTTTAAATTTAATTATTAAGTAGCTGTTTTTGTTCAAATAAAAAAAAAAGCAGTAAAATTATTTGATTATCCCGCGCCAAACGTTGACAGTAGTTGCCTCCCGCCATTTTCTTGTTTTGGCATTTGGCTGTTGTTCCAAGCTCCAAGCACCGAAGCATCCAAATCACGATTCAAGAACCACATTTTTAATTCTTTTTCGCATTTTTTGCTCTTGCTTGGCTTGTGATCTGCGTTCGGCGGCAAACAAAAAGAAAATTCTGAGTGTCCGAAAAAATGCTGTAGAAGCAATTTCGTAATTTGTGTATTCGCCTGCGTACATTTCACAAACTGCTGGCAATAAATTGAATGTACCAGTGAGCCATTGAAAAAAGTGAGGGAAATAACATAAACTTAAAGGGGCTCACTAATTTGTTTTTTTTTTTTTTTTAGTAAGTACTTGAATATGGAGAACGAGGATTCCAAAATGGAAAGTGAAACAGTTGTGGAGAATTCTAGTCCAGTAACAGAAATAGAGGCAAGTAAAGAAACAAATGTAGAACTCACTGAGGCTGAATCAGCATCCTCTGAGAAATCAACTCAAAATGGGGCACTGGAACCCAACAAAATACCTGAGAATGACGATAATCAAACTAAGGAATCTGCACTTGAACCTGTTGAGGTGACAGAACCTAAAATAACAGAAAATGGGGCTCACACCAAAGAGCTTCAAGTAGGTACTCAGAAAAACTCAGAAAAACCTGAAGAAGAAAAACTGGAGCAGGAGCAGGAGATAGCAAGTAATAATACTATTGAGGAAAACCCCACTCGTGTTACAAGAGGTACAAAAAGAAAAGCCAATGATGAAATAAATGAGATTACCAGGGAAGAAGCAAGTAATAAGAAAATCCAGCAAAAGGAAAATCAAAATGAAAGTTCGCATCTTACAAAAGGTAAGTACCTACTAGATAATTATAATTATATTTCTTAGGGCTAGTTTCACAAACAGTAGTAACCCAACGGTAACCACAAGACACTGGTAACCTACAATTAGTGAATGCAATACCGGGATCCCGCAAGCCATATGCGGGACTGATCTCGCTCATAAACTGAGCGGGATCCCGCCGGGATTTGCGGGATTGAAAAGAACTGTACCCTTGGTGCCACTCGGGCCTGGTACGCGCGAACTGGACTACGTAGAGAAACTTTCTCACCCTAAGTTGTTTACTATTTTTGGCAGTTTTGTTCCAACTTTCAATAAGGACGTGTAGGGTCGCAGTGCAACAAATTCTTAATTTTGGTTAAGTAAACAAAATGTACTCTTTTAAGTAGGTATTCAAGTTTAAATAATTATCATATGTTAGAAACTGTAGCTCTGTTCCAACCGACATGAGAACCGTTCTAGAACGGTAATTTCCAGTTGATCAATTCTTAATAATTAAAATGACAGGTCGTTTGCGCAGTTATTTCCAAAATAATATTTAAATATCTTCTGACTTGTTATGTTAATCTTCTAATAATAATGTTTAATATCTTTGAAAAACATTATTGAATAATTTGATACTTGATATTTGTTCAATTTTAGTCAAAACCCTTTAAATCTGGTACTATATTATGATTTATTTGCAAAGGGCAAAGCAAAGGATTCTGTGGGATCCCGCAAATACCTGGATCCCGCAGGATTGGAAATGTCCAGTCTCGCAAATACCGGGACTGGAATTATCTTGCAGGATTGCATTCCCTACCCACAATATATTCATAATGTGTGGTTTACTCGGTGGTTTAGCTAAAACCATTGGTCAAGCTTCAGAATATTCAATATAGTCAACTAGCAACCATGAGTTTGATAACCAGTGTAGGTTAGCACCAATTGTGAAACTGGCCCTTAACAGCAGGTTAAAGCTAACATGTTTAATACTATCAGCTCGACTATGAGTTACAGAATAATATTATTATAGTGCAATTGTCTCTTTTACATAATCTGAAACAGCAATTTTTAAGAAGTTAGACTTCCACAGTTCTACACAAGGTTTGGTATTTCATTCGTTCTGGTTCAATATCCTATACAAAGCTCTAATATAAAGGTTGTTTGCAGATTTTGTACAGTAATGCAAGCAAATGACTAGGCACCAGTCCATGAACCATTATAGATAAATAGCAGTGTATTTATTGACTGTTGACTGTCATACGCTTGAAATACCAACAGTATCTAACATTGTTTTTATGTTTGTACAGGGTGGGCCAATTTGGACACTTTCTTATGGAAACACCCTTTATTTTTAGAGATAAAAAAAAATGAACCCCCCACTCTGAGGCTCAGATTTCATGAAATTTTGATTGGTGTAAACCGCATTTTGATATCTTAAACCGTTTAGCCGCTAGAGGGCGATTCTCGATTTTGAGCAATAATGTGAAACCATCATAATTAACTTTTTTGTTTATGAAAATTGAACCCTATGCTGGAACAACGTTTCAAACGCCAAATATTGTTTTGTTAGAAATTCGAAAAAAACAAAAAATGATCGATTGCTTTATCAAATATAGTGCATTTGTGCCTGATATAGATATAACTTAACTAAAAAGAACTTATCATCTTATAGGCATTGAAGACCACATGAAGAATTGTGATTTACGAGCATATTTTTCTCATTTCATTCAAACAATGTTGTATATCCATGTCGGTTACAACGTTGTTTCATGGAACTAAGGCGGTTACAACGTTGTTTTAAGACTAAAAACAAACTAGGGCGAGGTTGCACTTGAAACGTTGTTCCGCAAAAAGGACAAACTGGACCAATTAAAATGGCATCAATAACCCATCAAATAAAATCCTATGCCCCCACTATTAAGTAGGCGGATTATCCAGGATATATACAAAGTTGTTCCACGGAAATACCGTTTTTACACATATTGTCGTTTGCAACGTTGTTCCAGCATAGGGTTAAATTATTGATTTCCGTAAAAACTTTCTTGAAGCACTTTTTCAAGCAGAATTCAGCGAGGCTCTCAGTTTTTTTCTAGTTGGTCCCAACGCTGGGATATTGACCAAAGTGGTTTTTTTCAATAGGACAACCTATATATTAATAGCTCATTAGAAAGCTCTGCTTTTTCTGATTTCGATGATAGAAAGTTCAATAGGTTTATCTCTAACAGTTTTCGAGAAAAAAAATTATTTCGGTTTTTTTCATAAGAAGCAATGTGTAAGAAAAGGACTTTATATCTGTAAGGAAACTGAGAAAGGTCTCTTTCCAACACATTGTTTCTTATGACAAAAACCGAAATATTTTTTTCCTACAGCCTTGCGGAAAAATCGATTTTCCGCACTGATATGCGTGCGGAAAATGAGTTTTCCCGCACGGTGCGGTAAAACTTTTTTTTTGACATATCAGTGCGGAAAAAGTTTTTCCGCACGGCTGTCAGTGCGGAAAAAATTTTACCGCACTGATATGTCAAAAAAAAAAGAAAAATTTTACATTTTTACGCCTGTAGGAAAAATATTATACCCAACACTTGCGGAAAATTCATTTTCCGCACTTGTTAGGTAAATAGCTATTTTTCTCGAAAACTGTTAGAGATGAACCTATCGAACTTTATATCATTGAAATCGGAAAAAGCAGAGCTTTCTAATGAGCTATTAATATATAGGGTGTCCTATTGAAAACAACCAGACTTTGGTCAATATCTCAACGTTGGGACCAACTAGAAAAAAACTGAGAACGTCACTGAATTCTGCTTGAAAAAGTGCTTCGAGAAAGTTTTTACGGAAATCAATAATTTCCATAAACAAAAAAGTTATGATGGTTTCACATTATTACTCAAAATCGAGAATCGCCCTCTAGCGGCTAAACGGTTGAAGATATTAAAAGGCTCAAATTTCATGAAATTTTGATTGGTGCAAACCGCATTTTGATATCTTCAACCATTTAGCCGCTAGAGGGCGATTCTCGATACTGTGAAACCTTCATAACTTTTTTATTTATGAAAATAATTCATTTCTGTAAAGACTTTCTGGAAGCACTTTTTTAAGTGAAATTCAGTGACGTTCTCAGCTTTTTTCTATTTGGCTCCGATTCCGAGATATTGACCAAAATCCGATTTTTTTCAATAGGACATCCTATATATTAATAGCTCATTGAAAAGCTCTGCTTTTGCTGATTTCAATGATATAAAATTCGATAGGTTTATCTTTAACGGTTTCCAAGAAAAAAATTATTTTGATTTTTGTCATGACACAATGTGTTGGAAAAGGACTTTATACCTGTAAGGAAAACGATAAAGGTCTCTCTCTAACACATTGTTTCTTATGACAAAAACAGAAATATTTTTTTCTCGAAAACTGTTAGGGATAAACCTATTGAACTTTATATAATTGAAATCAGCAAAAGCAGAGCTTTCCAATAAGCTATTAATATATAGGGTGTTCTATTGAAAAAAATCGGATTTTGGTCAATATCTCGAAATCCGAGTCAATTAGAAAAAATCTGAGAACGTCACTGAATTCTTCTTAAAAAAGTGCTCTTAGAAAGTCTTTACGGAAATCAATTATTTTCATAAACAAAAAAGTTATGAAGGTTTCACAATATTGCTCAAAATCGAGAATCGCCCTCTAGCGGCTAAACGGTTGAAAATATCAAAATGCGGTTTGCACCAATCAAAATTTCATGAAATTTGAGCCTCAGTGGGGGGTTCATTTTTTTCTATCTCTAAAAATAAAGGGTGTTTCCATAAGAAAGTGTCCAATTTGGACCACCCTGTACAGTCGTGATACCTATATGTATTAGTATTTGTGTGCAAAACAATATAAAGAGCTTAATTTTGTATTGTATTGATTTCAGTAATGTTTAGAAGAAACAAAATTGTAGGGCAGTAACTAAAATATGGCATGATTAAGTTAAGTTTTGACCATTCACTCAATGTTTTTCTCATTCTGCCCAAGGCATTTGCCCTACTAGCAATCTTGTGTTTTATATAGGATGCATGTTTTGAAAATGTTAAATGTTCATCAGTTCATCTATTTTAACACCAAGATATTTAAACTCCATTACTTGCTCAATTTTAATTCCATTTACCCGAGCATTTACCAGAGGAGTTGTGGAACTACACAATGATTTCCAAATATTGCAGGGCAAAGGGAAATTGTGGCACAGCGATCCTTTGTCACAACAGCTTTTCAATGAATCACGAGATCGAGCGCATTGACACATACAATAATTTAATATATAAAATTCTCATGTCACAGTTTTAGTTGCCTTCGTCCTCCAAAACGGCTTTACCGATTTTTATGAAATTTTATATGTATATTCGGTAGGTCTGAGAATAGGTTTTAAGCTATTTTTTATACCCCTAAGTGATAAGGGTGGTCCACCCCAAATTTTTAAAATTTTTTCTTGCTTCTCACCACTACATAACTCAACTTATTTTTGTTTATTCCATTCAACCGACGTAACAGTATTATCTTATAGCATTTTCGGCTTTACTGCTCCCAGAGCGCTCTCTATTTGGGCGGTGACGTCACAGATCTCTGCGGAAGTGCTCCGAGAGCGATTATGATCCAAGCGAGGCACCCTATTTGAAATCAATAGCCAAATGATGTAAAATTTTAATTTTATGTGATTTCTAATCCAGAGAGTAAACATTAGTTTTCTTCAACCAAGGCCAAATTCACCAGTGAAAAAAACTGAATTTAATTCATCTACTAGATACGTTAACACAACATTTAATAGATATTTAATAATTCATAGGCGGTACGAAGTACTCCGGTTCAGCTAGTTTAATTATAAATAACAACTTTTAGTTTTCATTGATTTTTGTAAGAAAACTTAATATGTATTTACAAAATATGCACATACAGGCCTTCCTCTGCAAATCCAGCAATATTTTTGGAAGGTCTCAAGGGTCTGTTATTAAATTTCCCACCATCATCAAAGATAATTCTTGTAGACGATCTTAATATCAAAGAGATACCAAAGCTTCAATAAGTCTATTACTCTCATTGTCTCATTTAATTTAAAAGTATTTGTAAATGGACCAAGACGTATCACCAGTCATTCAGAAACAACAATTGATTATGTGTGCATTAACTTTGATTTTGGGGATTTAAATTGTGACGTTGTACCCCCAGGACTTTCAGACCATGAAGCCTTGGCAGCAAAATTAACATTGTTTGGTGGAATAGGTCCCCAAAAAAAACTTTGGTAAAATGCAGAATATACAGCAAAAGCAATTTTGATACCTTCAGGAGTTTTGTAAATTGGAGCCAGTGTTTGAATACACAGGATCCTATACAAAGTTTTCAGATATGTGTAACAAGAATTCCGAATAAGAGCTTTTCTTTACGAAAAATAACAGACAAAACAAACAGAAAATATATGGTTAAAAGGTATCAAGGTCTTAAGGTGTCTGCATACAATAAGAAAGTTCAACAACTGTCAGGCTTTCATATATTATTTCATTAAGTATGGAACCATATACTATAGACAGGTTATTATTGAGGCAAAAAAAAATCCACTACAGAAGGCGAATCAACAAACGCAGAGAATACAGGAACTTGATTAATGAATTAAAAGGAAAAACAAAAAAATGCAAAAGTTTTGTTGATGTTGAGCCTAACAACCTGAATACATTCTACACAACAATTGCAGGAAAGCTGTCAGATGATCTGAATTCTAACATTCATCCTTTAGATTATCTACAGCCATTATCTTACACAGAAAACTTCAGTTTCAAAACAAAGAAACATAAAAAACATAAAATCAGGAAAATTTGTAGAAATATTAAAAGCAATAATATGTCTGCAAAAATCATGAGAAACTTGCTGGACAGTGCCCTACAGGTATCTACTAGCCTCTTGTATTGATTTGTCTCTGGGCACTGGAATATTTCGTCCTTGTCTGAAATCAGCAGTGGTAATCCCAATCCAAATTCAGATCCATTGAATTATCCACCTATCTCACTATTGAGTATTCTCTCAAAAATCATGGAGAAAATTGTTGAGGAACAACTAGTGGATTTTTTGAGGAGACAAAAAATTTTTAATCGAAATCAATTTGGTTTATAGGGTTCAAGGGGGACAAAACAGGTGAATTTGGTAGTGTAAATCATTTATTCATTTATTTATTGAAACAACTATTACAGGTGGATGAACCCTTTAACAGTTGTGTTCAATATATAAACTACACTAAACTAAGATTTGAAAAAAAAAACTAGGAGTTGGAGGATACTAAATATTACAGTATATAGTTGCTTGTAGTTGTATTATGTAATTTGAGAATGCTACTCATTTCCTAAAAACAGGTCTTTAGTTTTTCTTTTGAATTTCATGAATTAGTCTCCAAATATGTCTAAAAGACTTTGATGTTCATTATTATTTGATAGCAGTGTTCTCAAGGGAGAGCTGCATGAATTACGCATCTAAGAATGCATATTTCATAAAAATTTTGACATTCTACAAATAAGTCTTGATTTTTGGCATTTTCTGCATAGACTGTAGTATGACCAACATGAGTTTTTAGCCCATAAGTTCACTTTAGGCTTGGGCAACTCTGGTATCTTCAGATCCTTCAGTCATCCAGTTTACCTTCATTCTTTTCTTCAAAGATTCTCAGTATAGAGCCTCTTTTCGTATTATCATAATATGTTTTTGTTCGGTGAAAGGTTGTCTAATCAAAAATGGCATATCTAAAGCATCATCTGATACTATGGTGTGCTATGGTGATACCTGTTGACCCTCTACTCTAATATTAATTGCTAATCTCCATGTTTTTCAAGGGTTTGCAAATTTAAAAGTGATAAAATTTCATTATAATTGATGGAGTCATGTTCAACTCCCAGTCTGAAAGCTATATTTGTAAAAAAAATTTTTTGCACCCTTTCTATGCTGAGTTTATGTATTTCGTAAAACAGAGACCATACAGGGCTTACATACTCTAAAACCTGTCTTACTATGTCGGAATAAACATTACGAATGGTGTATAAATTATTGAAATTTCAGCAGGACAAAGCCTAACAGTTTCATAGCTCTATTTGATATTCTTATTTCAATATGTTCATTAAAGTTCAACTCAACATCAAGAAAAACACCAAGATCTCTAATAACATATAGCCTCTCAAGGTTGTTCCTGTCAATAACATAATCAAAAATAAAAGGATTTTTATTGTGGTTGAATGACATAATCTTACATTACTTAACATTATTCCAGTTTTTTGACAATTCGAAAAATCTTCTTATCATCAGCAAAATTTAAGAAATTACCTTTAAATATTGTTTAACATCATTCAGAAAGATATTAAAAAGAAGCGGCGATAGGTGTTCCCCCTGGGGAACGCCAGAGGTGACATTAATTTCTGATGAAAGATAATTCTCAATTTTAACCTTTTGTTTTCTGTCTGTTAAATGATTCAAGAGCCATTTATGGAAAATTCCGTGGCAGTTAGTTTCTGAGAAAGAATAGAATGATCAACTCTATCAAATGCCTAGGAGAAATCGGTATAAATAACATCTACCTTATACCCCTCCTCCAAGGTACCCAACAGAGCCTGTTCAAAGACCAACAAGTTCCATACTGTAGACTTTCTCTTAACAAAACCATGTTGCTCTGATATAAATATATTTTTGAAAAATGGTGTTATTTTATCAGTGACAATTGCTTCAAAAATCTTTGAAAATAGATTCCGAGAGCTAGTGATTGATTAAAGATTTTAGTTAAAATGTAAGACAGGAAACAGATACAATTTTTCATAAAATAAACCGGAATACCATCTGGTCCACACCTCAATTTAGGCTTCAATTGTGAAATTTTGTTATAAACATTCATTATATCAATTTTTATGTTACCTAAGTTGACTGTTAGGTCATATGACAAATCTAAGTTTTTAGGATCATAAGCAGTATAAACTAAAGAAAATTGCTGCCTGAACAACTCAGCAATAGCTTGAGGTGTATCAGCTACCTTATCACCTAGCACCATATTGCAGGGAATACCTTAAGTGTTTTTTTTTAGAGTTTATGTAATTCCAAAAACTATCTCTGTCCTGTATTTGATCTTCTAGGTTATCGATGTAATGTCAATGATTGACTGGGGCATACTTTCGACATTAAGAACATAAATCAGAAAATTCTTGATAGTCACTAAGCAAAAGTTTATAAGTTTTGTGAGCTGCCGTAAGGTCTGTTTGTGCAGAAATCTCAAACCAGAGTGAATTTCATTGGTTGAAACTTGTTTTCTGACTGTTTTCAACCAATGAAATTCGCTCTGACTGGTTTGTGATTTCTGCACAAACAGACCTATTAATAATGTCTAGCCCATAGATAACCTAATGTCTAACACTGGCAACTTGAGAAGATAGCATGTTGATGAAAAAGAAAGGATACATGGCCAAAGTAATCTTATTTTTTCAAAGGTTCTAACATTATATAGATCAAATGAAAAGAAACTTGAACTTGAACCTAAATTATTAACAGCTCAATTGTCTCAAATGCTCTTCGAGAGTCGAAAAATAATGTCCCCATTACCAAATTGTCCTTCAATGAATCCTTCCATTTTGCTAGCACTGTCTGTAGTGCACTCTCACATGAGTTATTTATCCTAAATCCCGCCGTCAAAATTTAGTTATTTTCTACATAATCCACAAGTTGACTATTGATAACAAGTTCCAGGAGTTTTTCATAGGTAGGAACCATGTTTGTTGGGCGATAGTCCTGACATAATTTGGATTTTTTTTTCTATAAATATGATAGAGGATGTTTTCCTTGATGTTCTCCATCCATTAGGAAATTTTCCATTCTCTATACTTGTGTTTATAATTTATAACTTGTAATTCCTGTGTTTATGCCATCTACATTGCTTGTTTTATTATTCATATCCTTTACCAAGTTTCTTTAGTTCTATACAAAAATACATAATAAAGCTGTACTTACCTAATTTATGACATACATTTCCATAATTTTCATGTGACAGAAGATCTGACATCAAACTCATACTCGAACTCAAATGTAATGGGCAAAGGAAGAAGAGCTCGAGTTCCTAACAAAAGATACAGCGAAATTATGCTAACACCACCCAATAAAAAATCCTCGGTTGCTGCTGCTAAGGTTCCCATGGAGGAGCCCATCGATGATCCAATGGAGGCTCCCATGATAGCACTTGAAAAGTCTCTAAGTGTAAAAGATGACCTTCTCGGAGACTTTGCAGGCTTTGATAGTGCAATCACTGCTGCTTCATCAACGAAAAGTAAAGTCACTCATGATTTCCAAGTAAGTGTTCAAGTTCCTAATTAATCTAAACTATAAATTTCCTTCCATAATAAGTTTTCAGTTCTTGTTCTCCTAGAGTTTTTCCAAAGAAAGTCAGTTTCTTGGATAGAAAAGTGATCCAAAAATCAGACAACTAACTTTTCTTTGGGAAAATCTTTTTTTCAGCACCTTTGTGTGTCATTGGCTAGAACCAGTTTATACCATAAATTATAATAAATTTCAGGATCCGAAATATTTAAAACCATTCAAATATGGATGGAAAAGAGAACTAGTATGGAGGTCGACTAATGTTCGTGATCAGCTAAGAATGGGGGACATTTATTACTACAACCCTGCTGGCCAAAAGTTGAGATCTTTCCGTGAAATCTCCCAGCATTTGAACAACGAAAAGCTAACCTTGGATAACTTTTTATTTTTCAAGGTGCCTTTGGGCGTGAACGATCCTGATAAGGAAATCGTCCGGCATGCTGGTGAAGGTAGAAAATCCACATCCAGTAAAGCTACACCGAGAAAAACTGATTCTCTAGTCGTAGGTGTAACACCTACAAATTCTCGCAGCAAAAGAAGCTCAGCTGTGGGAGTAATTAATGCAGCTCGGGAAAAAGAAAAAGAGGTAGCAATACCAAGTAGTCCTAGGAATGTAAGTGATCTTACGTTCATAAATAATAGTTATTTATGATATAAGTGTTAAAAGTACATTTTTAAGGCACGCATGTGAAAGTTTGCAGAATGAGCGAAGCGAATTCTGCAATTCAAATAAGTGCCTTAAAAATACTTTTAACACAAATATCATACAATATTTTTTCTACAAACGGCAATAAAAAGCAATAACCACTAACAAATTGGATTTTTAAATGAATAATAAATTGGAAGCATGTTTCCTACATAAAATTCTTGAATTTGACATTTGTCAAAAAATCCATACAACCAGCACCTTGTTTTACAGGTAACGAAATGTCTTGTCAGTTTCTTGAAAGTATGTCGTGGTCAGGAATGCTTTTTGCTAAAAATGCAACAAAATACAGAAGAAAAAGAGAGTTGCATCGATCCTTCGAAAAATATAGATGAGGCGGCGAATCGGGCTACCTCAGTTGTTCAAATTTCACCATTATTATCAATGTAAATAACTGAAAATACAAACTTTTTTTGATGTCCGCTCTCAAAATTTGATATTTCACTTTTAACACTAGTGCTATAAAAACTTTATGGCACTAGTGCGATAAAGTAACATTTTTAATGCTTCGGGGCGGTGTTAAAAATTGCATTTTTAACACGTTTGTAGAAAAAATTAATTAACAATTAATTCATCAGCTTCCTGTCAATCACACATATGTTCTTTTCAGAAAAAAAAGGCACCTGCTAAAAGAGGAAGATCAGCTAAAAAGACTGATTTATTGACCAAACCAGAACCTATGGAAGTTGATCTTGCACCTACAAAGTCTAGAACTAGGTGAGCAATATCTCAATTTTAATAAGAAATTGTTTTGGAATCTTAATCACTTACATATCTCAAAATATTTATCACATGAAATTGGATATATAGATTACGCAATCCTGTATTGTACCTTTGTCCCATAATTTGTTGTTCAAAAAACAAAAACAATAATATGGTTTCTTTGAATAATGAAAATCAATACCCACGGGTTTCATATTCCCGATCCCCTCCTCCAAATATATGAATGTTGAGGAAAAATTTCAGCAAACCCTGCCAGCCCTGTTCTATAAGTTGCGAAGGCCTGCAAGGAATCGTTCCCATGTTACAGTGTCACATGTGCCTATGTTTGTATCATTATCAGTGCGAAGGACAAAATACTGATGAAATTCCCAATTATGTTTGTAAGGTAAATTAATTCACAGTTTATTGCTTATATAAAACTACACTATTTCTTTTGGTAGAACTGTCAAGATCAAGAATTAACCCCCAATTCAGCTATTGCATCACCTCCTTCTCTTACACCTGATGTGAATTCGCCTTCCTCTTCCCCTACAGCTAAAGTAAAGCGCACTCAGCCTCCTGAATTTCGTGTTCCTTTACCACCAATAGTACAAAGACCGAAAAAAGTTAATTCAAAAGAACCCAGTATTAGTGAAGTGCCAATTGTAACTCAAAAACCGCTAGAAAGTTCTAGTTCTTTGGTAGGAGGATTGACTTCGTATCATCCACACAATGTTCAAATTGTTAATAATGCAGAACCAACTATAATGTCCAGGCCACAAATCATAGAGTATATCAATGGCAGAAGATTTATGATAATTCCTAAATACAACTACATGTCGGTTAGCTCAAATACATCACATTCTGATGATGCTTCAACAAGTTCGGGGCCTATGATTTCGTTAGCACCTAGGCAAGAAGTTTCTGAAGTTGAAGGGCCTTCATCTAGTAAAGGTGGGGAGGAGGAAATCGAGGATGATGTGCAAGCAGTGCCAGAAGATAGAGATGACAATATGACAAATGAGTGAGTTTTATCTTAAAGAGAATAGTCCCATTATGATTTTTGTAGTTTATTGTAAAGTTGGTTTCAGGAACCCTGATAGTTGACGTTAACAATCAATGAACAATGTTAACTACCAGGGCCTATGAAATAAACTCAAGTACTGCTACAAGTTTTCTCTCAAATGCTCCACTGATCTTTATAATAATATAATTTTGTTTCAATTTTCAGGCTTTCATTACCCAAATCCCTTTACCATTTGTCCTGAACATGCGTAATCTGTCTTATCCAATATTTTTTTTTATATTTTTGCAGGTTTTTCTATTTATTTTTTTATGTGCTTAATCTCTAGTATACCTTTATTAAAAAGGTATAACAAATCTGGTGTTTTTCTCTGGTTCCTACTAGATATCTTCAACAACGCTAGTGGGATAAAAATAAAATTACTTGTAAAAAGAGTGATTTTATTTTATCTCCATCCCTCACCCGCCCATTGATTGTTTGCTTTATTAAAGCCTGAAAATTTTTAAACTAAATTATATTATTTCTATCTAGTATCTAGTAGGAGCCATATTTTTCAAATAAATTATAAAAGCTTAATATTTGTTCTTGTTATAGGACTAGCTTGCGTCAGGGTAAAGACACACTGGATCAGTCTAAAACTCAATCACGCAACCAAAAGCCTAAACGCGTTAGTAGCAGTTCAGAAGGCAGAAGCTTACTCATGGCAAACTATCTGCAAAATCTTGCATTTGGGTATACCAATTTGCTATCGATTTTCCAGTATTTAAAAGTACAAGATCTACTCAGAGCTGGTAAGAACTATGTTTATATTTTGACAGGTAATTGTGTGGTGATGCTGATGATGAAGGTGGGGTAAGGGACAGAGATTTTGCGCCCTCATTATTCTTTTTAGAGTTGCTCCTGTTTTCGCTGCATGGGTCTTTTTATAACCTTGCTTTTGGGTTTAATTATCAAATGCTAATTAATATTCTATTTGTAGGTCGTGCATGTAAAATGTGGAGAGATATCAGCAGAAATCCAATTTTATGGGAAACTATCCGAATGAAAAATTCAAAAGTGTACAGTTTCGAAGGGCTATCTAACGCATTGAAAAGATATAACACCGTCAATTTAGATTTGAGAAAAATGTTGTTGCCCAACAAAGGAAACGACATCTGGCCGGAATTCTCCAATTCCATCGGTGAAGTGCAAACCTTAAAGAAGATCGAATTTTGCAGGTAATTTTTTTCTTGCCCCCATTTAAAAAGTGCGATCTCAAATTTCATTACTTTTAGGTGTCCAGCTGCTGTTATGGAAAAACTTCCAATTTCGAACCCAAATCTTGAAATTATCAATTCTGTAATGATCAAATCTGATATAATGAACTTCGATTCGTTTGCCAATTTGAATTACATCAAAGAATTAAGAATCAAAGCAGTAACCAGCATGACTTTGAATTCAATATTGTCCCTAAAGGAATTGAAAAACTTGAAAATACTCGCTCTGACTTCGGTCCTTCATTTGAATAGATTGGAACTCAGTGTCTTAGCTGAACTAACCAATTTGGAAAGTTTGGACTTGGGAGAATGCACCGAGTTTCCTGCAACTTTTGGTCAAGACGTTTTAATCAAACTGGAAAAATTAGAGAAACTTAGGTTGGAAAAAGGACAAGATAGCTGTCACACTTTTGAACTTTTGGACACTGTAAAAGACATGAAAAATCTCCAACAGTTGGAGCTCATCAATTTTGACATTAAAGCTGGTTTTGACAAGGCGATTGAATCGTGTACTCAACTCAAAAAGTTAATGATTATTCCTACATATGTTTCTCAAAGTGCGACTACTAATAATATGGTAATGGCTAGTGCATTAAGGTTACGAGGTAATATTTTTTTTTTTTTATTTAACTACATTTTTAAATAAATTTATTTATTTACAGCATCCCTGACCCATTTTGTCTGGGGCGTTACACTGGAACTAATACGAGTGACCGAACTATTTGTGGACCAATGTGACGACAAGAAAAATAAGAAAGTTACCGGTACTCTCGATTGTATACCGGTTCTGAAACCAGTACCGGATATATCCAAGGATCAAACTATACAGCCAGCCAGCAATCCTCCGCAAGTTGAAATTTTACCTTTGACCAACCTGCAAAAGTTGTTACTGAACAGTTTGCCCACCACAAGGGTGAAAATATTGAAAATACCATTTCACGCTACCTGGCGGCAAACTTTACAAGATTCTGCTTACTTGTAAATTTATTGCTTTTATTTGAAGTTTTCTCTATACATATAGGATTTATCTAGTATATCAACAACAGATGTTTTTATTTATATTTCATCATTTGAAATGTTTACATTTAGGATTAAAAATGGTTTTTATTTTTATTTCTGTTTTTCTGTTTGTCTATCTCTTGTTTGTTTGTGGGATTTCAATGTATTATAAAAACATTAGTATATTTTCATTTAATAGATTTTAGGTTTCACTAGTGGTGAATCTATTAGCAGAATAACATTTTAATTTTTGGAAATTTGCAATGTCTTCTTTCACGTGTTTGAGATGTTTGCATGAAGTTGTTTTTTCTATTTTCGTGCCCTGGGCCTCACAACTGTGAAATGTAAAGTCGACATACATAGTGTAAATTTTACTTGTTTTTATAATTGTATATACCAAGTGGTTACATCTTTTTTTTAGAAGTAGATTTTTGTTCAAGGCACGTTTTCCCACAAATATAATTGTTTACTATCCTTAGAATTTTATTAGACGAATTGGATTTAAATATGTATCAATAAATATTTTTTAAGATTAACCGATTTTTTTTTTTATTCAATTGGGGCAGTCAGTAAAAATTTTGAGCACCTGATTTATCTCTCTGGGTCGGTTTCTCAATAACGAGTCACTTCCGGGTTGGTTAAGCTTGACACACTATCAAAAAATCTGACGATTTGACATAAACACATTTTCCGTAAATTTTGTGCGGGGTCCTTGGTTATAGCCCGTGGTTCCATGTAGGGTTAACATTATGCACAAGATGTACTCCGGTACAAGATTATTTCTTCGAATTAATACGTCATATAAAGCTCCAGAAGACTACATAGAGGTACTTTATGTTAATTCTTTGGACTGCAAATTTTCATTCATGATACCCAAAGCACGAAAGACAAAATTAACAAAAATAAAATTTATTTTTCAACAAACAGCCTATTGTAACGACTAGATAACAACTACATTCACACAACTAGTACTACTCAATCCCATCCGTGATGACTGTGAAGATCATGGTGACCGTGATGAAGCTCAACATGGTGACCGTGATGGAAATCAACATGGTGATCATGATGTAAATCAACATGGTGATCATGATGTAGATCAACATGGTGACCATGATCAACATGATGATGTACATGTGCAGGTTCTACGTGAGCGTGTACAACAACTGGAACTTTTTGCTTGATTATAATCGGATGAGGTATCGGCACTGGTACCTTTTTCCAGATTTTCACAGGCACTGGAATGGGATGTTCAACTTTGTACGGTGTTGGTACGTCAATGTGTACTGGTACTTTAACGTGTACGGGAATGGGTTGATCGACTTGCACCGGCACGTCTCTGAACACTTTAACTTCGTATGGTCGCTTTACATGAACTGGATAAGGACGATCAACTGGTACGTCTACAGGAGTGGGTACTTGAACAGGAATACGGTTTTCAACTTGCACAGGGTAGGGTTGAGGTACAGGAATACCAATTTTGTGCACAATGGTCACGTGACGTTGAACGCCGTGACCTAAATGGTAGTGAGGCTCGTTTGCGTGCAAATCTGGTGGTCCTAGAGGTCCAGAACCTGATCCACCCAGTCCTCCTAAACCAGGAGCAGGTCCTCCAATTACTGGACCACCGATATGTGAACCGGAATCAATACCGGGTGGGCCATAGGCTGGACCTACATCGCTTCCGTGATGATGATGATGTTCGAATCCTATTCCAGAAGCAGATCCTCCAACTACTGGACCACCGATATGTGAACCGGAATCAATACCGGGTGGGCCATAGGCTGGACCTACATCGCTTCCGTGATGATGATGATGATGTTCGAATCCTCCTATTCCAGAAGCAGATCCTCCAACTACTGGACCACCGATAGGTGGACCTGATTCAAAACCGGGTGGGCCATAGGCAGGAACTGGAAGTGGGGGACCTCCATGATGATGATGATGTTCGAATCCTCCTTAAAAATATCAAATGATGGTAAATTAGTGTTACAGTCAATATTCTAGAATTTAATTTACTATACAATGAAATAAAACTATTTTTACAGGAAAGAAAGACGTTGATTAATGTCAATGATTGGATTCAGTTAGCTCTTATCAACACAGTTCTTACCTGCTAATGAATTTGATCCGAATTCTAATCCTCCGCCAGAATGTGATCCTCCTTCAAGCGGTAATAAAGACGCTGGAGGTATATCCAAGTGTCCGCCGCCGACTCCGCAATGACTGCACCCGTGTCCATGGTGTTCGCCTTGCAGAAAACCGCGTTTATTTCTTACAGGTTCACCGATGGCCACGGATAGACATAGGAGAAGGACGAACGCCTAAAATAAAGTGATAATTTACATTTTTTATTATGAGGAATTACAAATTCACTTACTGTGGTCTTCATTTTACCCCAACTTAAATTAAAAAGGTGCATCAAATCTCGTTGGAAGACTGATTAGGATTTCCAAATTTCTTGTTTTTATATCAGCCAAAACCCATTGAGAGGAATGTATACAAAAATAGTCGAAAAATATTGCTACTTTCTCTATTTAAATCAGTGCATAAAAATAACGTTTTGGGTCGGCCCTACGGCGCTTTTGATTAAATTTTTGTATATCATCTGGGAGGATCATTAAAATTATGTTGTTGCTTATGGTTTTATGCAGAATTATGTAAAATTTCGTTGTGGAAGTCCAAAGATCAGGACCGCATTTTTAGTATATTGTATAAGTTTTGAGGAAAAGTTATGAGTAATCTATTCTGATTATAATAAGGTCAATTCTCATACTCTCATCTAAGCAGCATGGAGCAGTGACACAAACAATCTTATATTGAAACTCTGTTCATCAGGGTAACGTGATGATGAGTCTTTAATAAAACCTGTACTTAATTTGTCCCATTTGATTAGATGTATTAAACATTAGCATATAGTAAGAAACCACCAAACTAAATTTAAGAATAGGCCTCATTTAATATCTATACCTATATTAAATACACAACAGAAATGACTGTGAAAATTCTTTAAACACTGAAGAATTTTTTGGTTGGTCTTGCATGGGATGGCAAATTTCAATGAACCGACCCTGATTTAAAGATGTTACGAGATTTTGATTTAGTGTTAAATAATTCCGATAAAAGTGAAAACTTTTTTTGATAGAATTTAAATGGCATTTTATATATGAATATTAATTATTGATGTTTGTGAGAAGTAAAAGTGATTACGGAAAGAGATTAAACTTTCAATGTGGAAGCATATGGAAGCAAAGTCTTAGGTGGAAATTGCCGGATAAACCTTAAAATTCATTTTACCTCTACCCCGTAAGTTTTATTCGTCCTACGCCGATACTCATACCGAAACAAAGCCACAGGTCAACAGAGTAAATTCTCCATATGAAATAGGTACGTTATCGGTTTTTTAGAAATTCTAAACTTCAGTATCATCGTGAAAGAGCAAAAATGGCTGTATGGGGCGCGTGAAGATGGATCATCTCAAATTAAGAATCTAGTCAAAATTGTATTGAAAATAGAATTAAGTTGAATGAACATGAAAGAGCTTTTTTATATATTCTTTCCCATATTCCAGAGTTTGGCAAAAAATGGGTGTTGATCTATTTAAGTTTAAATCTTGTAATTACAGATTGCTATTCCAGATTTTTTTTTGTAGTTTTAAATAACTTCACCTCTGAAAAATGTAATTAGTAGGTACCTATAAATTGAAAGAAAATTTTGCTAGTTTTGGCATCCCGGAGGAAGTGCGGGACCTGTCAATGGACCTCCAATTACAAAACACAATTTATTTAAAACATTTTCTATTAATTATATAACTTTTTAAACATGTATCACTAAATCACTAGTAGTCTTTATCTACATTGTACATCTCAAATTATGTATAGCTGTAGCTGTCGTTATCACTGTAGCTGTCGCTATCCTTGTTCCTTTCGCAGACGCCATCGCTGTTGCTGGAGCGGATGCTGACGCGGAATCTGACGCTGACGCGGAATCTGACGCTGACGCGATATCTGTCGCTGATATTGTAGCTAAAATTGAAATTGTCGATTGGTGATGGAGCCTAAACCTGAGGACGCTGCTGGAATAAGTAGGTAGTTATAAAATGGAAGAGTGGGTCTAATTGGCATATCTAGAAATGCCCAAAATTTTCAAAGGACAAATAATGTCCAGTACTTAATCGATTATAACTTTGAACATGTAACTAGTAGTCCTTACTATTCTCAATCGAATGAAATTGTAGGGGTGACAGCGGCGGTAAAGACAGCAAAGTCTATTTGATATCTTAATTCATTGTTGAGTAGTTTGAGTGTATTCACATCCATCTCAGAATTTTGGTTCACGACTATCAATATGTTTGTTTGATGACTATAGGTCGTACTACTGCGTTATTAAATTTGAGTATTTTTCACTTACTGTGCGTAGATTTTCTAGTTTTGCAGTTATTATAACTCGATGAGGATTATTGTCCAAAATAGTTGAGGTCAGATCGACGGCTTGCCTCATCAGTACCAGTTCTAGAGTGAGGAATTGGTCTATGGTCATGAACATGAACACTCGACTGATTAATAGTCCGGTCAAATCCCAAGACCTAACCACTACTAAAATATTTCACTAGTCTGTGCGACATGCAAGGTACGCTGCATCTCTAAGAGTATAGGCCAAAAGACCAAGAAGAAATTTTTGGCGTTCTTTTGCGACATATGCAGGACTGTTTTCTGTAGAACTGAGATATGTTACGTATTTTGAATTGAATCGAATATCGACCAATTGGAGACGGAAAGCAAAAGAACCAGCAACGAGACCAGCAAACTATAAAAGCGGAAATTGAGACTCTTGATAGTCTCAATCAGGAAATTGAAGGTTAGACCACACTCACGTAAACAGTCTGGAACTTCTGGAAGAAAAGATTCACGACTTTGAGATCTCTATATCTCTCTCATCGCGGACCACATTTTTAGGGCGGAGATTTCGGAGATTAATGGGAGAAATTTCGGAATCGAATGTCAAGGCCAAAGCCCAAAGCGTCGACTCCGAGAAAATTACCTCAAGTAACAAGTATAGGTACTTATTCGTCGGAAACCATAATGTCCGTGGCCTTTCGGCCGTGTTGAAGAGATTAATTGCTGGGAAAAACATAGACTTTTAACTCGCAATGGAAACAGCGTGTCTCTCTTTGGATGAAGTCGTCACGTCACAATTATTGGAACATTTTATTACTGCTGTAACACGTTCCACGATCGCATATTATTCGTCTTGGTGTGTTCTGAAAATTTCATCGCAAAACTTTACCAGAGGCACCGCCTTGGTGTTTTGCAACAGCTTTATTCCAGACATATATATACTTCGTAAATCCAACTTTTCACAAAAATTGTATCCATTTGGGTTAAGCTAACCATCCATCCTTCCTGTAAGTGTTATACAAACATTCCAAACAGGAAGATATGTACTTACGTTGTATACCTACATATTCCCGTATTCTTGGAAACCAAGTAGTATTCACTTATTGTTTTTAAGAGTCTTATTTTCTGTAGCTAAGTGACCTCTTTTGTCATGGTAATATGATAGTATTGCTCCGTCTTGCTCTTTCAGGCACGTACCACTTCAACCCATGTCAGTGACGTAGCCAGTGGGGGGGCAGGGGGGCCGTCGGCCCCCCCGCCCCTACACGAATGGCGCCCCTACCTCACTTAAAAAACAAAAGCAAAAAATAGGAAATTGTAAAATTATGCTGTTTCTTATTTATTTTATTGACCTCTTCACCCTTTATTCTTTATCGTAAGTCGGCAAATAGTTCAGTTCAATCGAAGGAAAGGTGATAGTCTCTGTTTTGATGATTGATGTGGTATTTGTTTATTAAACTATGGGTTAATGGGTTGGGTGGGGCTGTCATCCGTCCGGATTTTCCCGGAATTTTTCTAGTTTTTAAGGCGTCCGGAGACGTGAACGTGAAGTTACCGGCATATCCACACATTATTTCTTGTAAGGCTTATCGTAAATTTTTTTTTCGGCGTGGAATCCCAGGAAATTTTCTGATTTTTTCGCCTCCGGCGGCGCCGTCTTTAATATTTTACCCCAATAAGAAAATATTTCAAAAGTATACAAACATTCATTTGTTACCCCCTTTCGCCCCCTCCACCCCGCAAAGTTGGCTACGCCACTGACCCATGTTGAGTTATTTTGAAAAGACGTCGCTCTTCTATGACATATTCCTTATTGTGTATGCATTTTTCATCACCATCCGTAGGTTTTCTAGCTTAAATATCTATCAAATATTTGCAACGTTCATCTTGTAGTTGAGCTGATAAAATCCAATCGTCATCTCTGTTACGGCTGCTAAAATTTCGGTGGTTATAGGCTTTCACTTTGTACCTATTTCGACTCGATTTCTGCTTAATGCACCCACGTGACCCATCTTTGTTCCGGGCTGATATTCTACAGTGAAATTAAATTCCTGTGCTATCAACCACCAGCGAGCTATTCTAGGTATCAGGTCACGCTTAGTCATAGAAGTTTGTAGTGAATTGCAGTCAGTCGCACCACTTTAACACTTTAAACTCAATTCCTCAAAGGTACACCTTGAATCTCTGAAGACAGCAGATAACCGCACCAACGTTTCTAATTCATATATGAATGGTAGATAACTCTGTTCCTGTTTTGTTGTTTGTCTTACCATAGAACATAAGCCGGTTTCAAATTTCCATTTTCTTGCCATTGCAGCAAAATACCTCCAAGGCCTCGACTTGAAGCATCTGTATGAAGTGCAGTCTGTAACTGTGGGTTGTAGATAGCGAGAATAGGACGTTTTGGTAAAAGGTCTTTGAGAAGTTGGAAAGATTGTTGTTGTCCTGTCCCATGTGAAAGCTTCATTTTTCCTTGTTAACGCTGTTGATGGGCGAGCTATTTGGGCAAAGTTTTTCACATTTCATATTTCCTAAGTTCTATAAATTAGCGTACTTTATGGACATTTCTTGTGAAGTCCGTCAATTTTAATCTGATACTCCAAAAAAATGTGAGCTGGTAGCTTCCTACGCTAGAACGCCAATGGTCACCTGACGTCACACCTGTTTTTGCCATATACTTCACCCCCTCGCTCCTCATACGCAAAGTGTCAGAATGAAATCGAAAAACAATATAGCTGGGAAACTGTTCAACTGCTTGAGTTTTCTGTGACCCAGGACAAATTCCTTCTGCATTAGTTTTATGCCTCAAATAATCAATTTCGTTCCTAAAAAAATGACATTTATTCAACTTAAATGTTCCTCCAAAAATTCTAAATGCTTCAAAGATTTCTTACTGGCCATGTCAAGAGATAAGTGAAGTACCTGGCATTTGAAAGCATTTCCTCATCGAGTCATTCTCATGGGATAACAGTCTTAAATGCATTTTGAGTTCATAGTTCTATAATCAACCCACATGCGTATTTTACCATTTTTCTTTTTAACAAGAACAATTAATGGGGCTGGAATATGGTGAATTAGACTTTTGAATAATACCAGTATCATAAGCAAATCATCAACCATTTCTTTTACATGTTGTCGTTCTGAGAATGAAAGTAGATAAGCTCTGTACGTCACAGGCTTATCATCTTTCAATAAAATATCCATTTCAACACCTTTTAAGCACCCCAATTCTTTCATATTTTATGCAAAACAATCACGATATTGATTAAGCGTGTTGAGTAACATTCTCGTGTTGAGCTGGCCAATATCGTGATCTACTTGATCTTGGATATCATTTGAAGTGAACAATTCTAGACTATAGATTTATACAAAGAGTTTATGCTTGCCTGGCAATCTCTGTTACCTAATGCGTCATCTACCAAACCAACTCTTTCTCGTTGAAACTTATCGTCTCTCCTGACAAATTAAAAATTGGCAGTAGCAGTGAATCAGTGGAAGTAATGCATCTCGATATTCACTCTGTGGTTTGAAGCACTGACGTAGGTCGTAGGTCTACAACCATTTCACCCTTATAGTCTCCACTTGAACGGCATATAAGTATGCCAATGTGGTGTGGTGGTACTTTGGTTGCTTTCTTGCAAACTAACTCCACAGAGTTGTCGGTAGGTAGTTCGTCAACATCAGGTAGGGAAGTCGTTTCAGTACTAAACATTCTTAGTTATCCATCTCGCATCACGAGTGTACGGCCTTAGTTTGATTTAAATAAGTTTGTCCAATAGGTAGGTACCTATTCGTTCTTATATGATTCGCACCGAGAAGGGTTTAACATCAATTAAATATTAGAAACCGTAAATTTCTGAAAAAAATTAAAAAATCAACTTTTTGTAACAGAAATGTTGAGCCCGCCTCCGCTACTGATTTTTAATGTGAAGATTTTATATATTTAGGTTTAGGCAATGACAACTTAGTCCAGGACAATAAACTTACTTCAACTAATTCTGATAGTTTAGAGTCTGAACATTCAGAGCTCGACAAAGGATCTAGTTCTACATCTAGTGCTTGTAGTTACGAGTCCACCTCTGTACTGTAATTAATTGGAACACAAAGAATGAAGCGGGGCTTTCCACAGCTGAGCAGTATGTCGAGTACGATGTCTAGCAATCACTTTTTGGAGAATACGAGCTCTCAGCCTGTCACTACTGCGTCTGGCAGACAAGTTAAGAACAACCCACAAGTTCAACGATTACCTTAAGTTTAAATAATAACCTGCTAGAATGTTCTGAATTCGGTTGTCGCACAAAGTTGTTAGTGAGCTGGTACAATTTACTACCGCTTATTGAAGTATATCTTCTTGACAGTGTAACAAATCCACAGTGTCCAATCCACAGCATTTACCTCATACAATGAGGTTGTAACGCTTCTAAAATCTAGAATATACAATCTAACGAATCGACTGATTTTTAAAGCATTTATAGAAGAAATATCTTCATGCCATCAGAAACAGAATTGAACAATTTCTCGACACATAAAGCTTGAAATATTGATGTGGTGCAATCATTTAACACAGCACAATTAAATATATTAGTTGGGACAAGGCTAGATGTCGCTTGATAAGTATCTAGCTAGCGAATTCAAAATTGTTTTAATTAGTTTAAAATTACTAAGAACTAAATAATTACTCGACTGTTAATCTGTTTTAAATGGTTCTGGAACCCCTTCACATAACATAGATATGAGTAGGTATCTATTCTTTACATAGTCATTGATTTTATTTGAAAATTATTGATAAAACATCTTCCAAATTGAGGAAACTTTCTTATCTCACTAATTACCGCGGTGCAAAAGTCATCAACCCAAAAAACCGGTAAACCTTCAAGCGAAAACAAATAATATGAAACATATTATGCCTGTTGAAGGGTATTATGTAATCCCACACACACATGCATACACAAGGCAAAATATACACGCGTAACGGGGGTACTAGAGTAGGTACTGCAGTAATGTGAAAGCAAAATATGTTTATTTCTTGAAAATTGTAAGTCGCCAGTACCGCATGCGACAGACATTCATCATTTATAAGTACCCTACGAAGGGCTTACAAGGATAATGAGATATAAAGTTTGGGTGTATGCCTGTGCGATTTTTGTAGTTGTTGTGCTTGTAAGGGGACAAGAAAGATTCGATATTTTTGAGGGTGAGTTTTAAAATTATACCTTATTTTCAGGTATGTTTCTGCAGAAATCACAAACCAGTCGGAGCGAATTTCATTGGTTGAAAACAGTCAGAAAACTAGTTTCAACTAATGAAATTCACTCTGACTGGTTTGTGATTTCTACAGTAACAGACCTATTATTATTTTGAGCTTGCGAGAAAGAAAGAGTTTTTAAAAGCAAATCAAGTTGACCTTCACATTATCTTCAATGTAATCCTATTTTCAGTTTAATCAGGATTTAGGCATATTTTGCAAATTAAATACAATTTCCTTCATGAAATTAAGACCAAGGTTAATATTATGAATTAATATTTATTCCAACTATTTGCAATAATGATAATTGTAGGACTAATTAACACAGAAGCCAAAGACAAGACAATTTTATTATACACAATAGAAAAAACTAGTTTTATGTTCATGGTTTATAATAAAAAATAAATTTAATTTTCAGAAAAAAATGAAATCCCATATGAAAAGGACAAAACAAAAATGTCGAAAACCAGCAGCAAGCCAATTTTGGTCATCAAAGAACCGCAATCGGACACTAAAACGTCAACTCTTGATATAAAAGAACAAACCCTCAAAATTTTAGTTTCAGAAGAAAAATACACAACCCCTCAGACACTAGATGGTCACGACACAAAAACACCAACCGTTGAAGAAAAATTGACAGTTGAACCAACTAAACCACAAATTCTAATTTGCCCTCCCAAAAACGAACCGAAACCGCTATTTTCGCTACCCTGTTTTGCAACGTCAAATTGCGGATTTTTAGGTAAAGATTTGATGTGCTGCGATGGTAGGTGTGTCAAAGGAGTACCGCCACCTAAAACAGATCCAATTCATGAACGTAAGTAATTGATTTGTGGTTCATTGTAGTTTTAGCAAATTAACATTGTAGCAATATTTTTTGGAATTATCGAAAGAAAATGTCCAGTGGATCCTCTAACGGAACTGTCTGAAGTAAAAGAATGTTTCACTGACGACGATTGTTCGCCAAGAATATGCTGTGGAGAAATTCTACCCAGTGGAACAAAAGTTAGATTTTGTAGGACTCCTATTCCAGTTTGGGATTCTTTGCCATTACCTTCACCAGTCTTGGAACGTAAGAAAGTTATTTAAAAGTGGTTAGTTTTATGATAAAATTTACTGTTTTAGCATTGAAAGTTTTCACAAGCTATATGCAGTGTACACCTCCACCTCCGCCTCATTTAGATCTCTATCCGAAATCTTGCCAAAATCCAATGGATTGTTTTCCCAGTCTTTGCTGTCAGGAGAAGGGAAAGAAATTTTGCAGGCCACCAAAAAGGTCTTTGCTGGCTTTAGTTGCCGAATTAGGACAAGTAAGTAGAATAGATGTTTGAACAATTTTTGAAAAAACTAAATCAATATGTTTTAGAGAATAATTCCTGAGGATGCTGCCAGAAAATTCATAGAGAAAATATCTTAATTAATTTGTTACTGATAATCAAATAAAGGAAACAAAAAAAAAAAAACATGAATTAAAATGATTTACAAAGTCATTTTTATTTTAAAACAAATTAAATATAAAGATAAGTTGTAGTAAAACATCTAGTCCAGCTGAAACAAAAAAATAGAAAATTAGTTTTATACATTTTTCATAATGATTTTTTTGATAATATGAAAAATGGGGCTTTGGAAAATACAAAATACCATGAATAGATAGGTTTAGGGTGGTATTGCCATTCCAATAGTTATTTACCTATGAAGTGCAGAAAGTTATACCGCGCGCGCAACGGCGTTTGCATGAATGGAGTTCGTGCAAGCCGGAAAAGATATCTTATACTCGTGTTCAATTTACCCACAGGTAGTGATGTAAAGTTCCCGAAACATTCAAAAGCCGCGAACATTCTCGGAAACTTTCTGGGAATATTGGAAACTTTCGAGAACCTATGGAAATATTTTTTTTTTTTTAATTTATAGCTAAATCAGACAAATCGTAGTAAGCTTTATTTACCTATTATTGTGGGTTACTGACTATAGATTAGTATAAACCCAGAAAAACACCTATTTTTTTCTGTAAGATCAGCTAAAAATTAAACTATGTAGTAAAAACACTTATGGACGGTTGAATAAGGCTTTAAAGGAAAAGCTGATCCGATTAACCCAATCTCTCTGCTGTTTATTTTTTATCTTTCTTCCATGGAGATTATTTAAAAAAAAAAAAGACAAAGTGTAGGTACATCAGCTGGTGATCGGGTATCGAAGACAGTTGGACTGGGCTACATCATCCACATAAATTGAAATGACGTCACTGAGACCTTGTATTTGCAATAATCTCGGATTTTTATAAAATTCTTCTGGAAAGTTCTTGGAAATATTCTCGAAAGTTCTCTGAAATATTCTTTTGAGAGTTTTTGAGAATATTCTCAATCAGGAGAACGTTTCCATTTTTTATCGGCGAATATTCTCAGAAATTTCCCAATGGTCGCGAATATTCGCATGGGAATATGCTCAGAAACTATTCGAGCTATGAAACTCAATTTAGCACGGATTTATAGAGAATTTAATGCTCTTTTTCTTGGTGTATAATTTATTTTGATTTGTTCAAATTTCAATGGAAATATTGGCAATTTTTGTCTACCTTGGCATAGTTAAAAAAAAAAAATCAGAAATTTTCTTTGTTAGGGTTTTAAGACCCACTCTATCAATTGGAAAAGTTGAAAATTCGGAGAATATTAAAAAAAAATTTTGAAGAGTACCTACTCCTCGACCTACTCAGATAGTTTTTGAGAAAATTGAGTTTGAAGTTTTTGACTAAATTTCAACTTTAAGGCTGATAGTGGCCCAAAGACGAAACATCTGATTCAAAATTTGATAATGCCCTAATGTGAAATTGCGTAATTTTGCCCCAATTCAACCAAGCCTGTATCTCAATTACCGAGATCCCCATACTTTATCGCGAATTTGTAATACCCTGTATATACATACATATGAATTAGGTTTTTTGTGTTAATAGAAGGCCAAACGGCCATTCATCAGGCTGCGGATGTTCAGATTAAAGAGTCTACACTGTATCAAGAGAGAGTTGTATGGAATTCAATTAGCATTAATTTGAGCCTATTTAGGTTGAGATCAGATTGCAATTACCAAAGCAAAATGTGTAAATTTCATTTTGGTAGAAATCAAGGGGTAAACCAAAAATGTAGGAAATTTAGATGAATTTGTGGTTTTTTTGTGGTGAATTTAAAGGAATTTATGGGAAATTTTGCAAGGGGATAGAGACAAGATTGAAATTAGGCTAAAAAATTGAAAAATTCCTTCTGCTTGCTCACTTTGATAAAAATCAAGTTGAAAATGTTTGCAGCTGTGAAACTATTGGAGCTGTATTGAAACTTCAAATTAGAGATTTCTAGAGGAAAACTTCCTTCTCCTTGCTCATTGCTGACTTTGATAAAAATCAAGTTGAGAATGTTTGTCATGTTTGCAGCTGCCAAATTATTGAAGCTGCATTAAAACTTTAAATTAGAGATTTCTAGAGGATTTGATTCCCTTTAATTGAAGCCTAATAACATTAGTATCGGATTGAAATTAACAAAGTTATGAGGCAAAATGTATGCCGATGACAATTCTGGAAAAAAATAAATTTTCCATATAATGACATTAAGATCAAGGAACGTTTTATTTTATTTATTTTTTTCAAGAAAAATGTTCAAGGCATTGGATAGAAATTTAACAAAGGGTTAGAGACAAGATTGAAATTGAGCTAAAAAATTGAAAAATTCCTTCTGCTTGCTCACTTTGATAAAAATCAAGTTGAAAATGTTTGCATGTTTGCAGCTGTGAAACTATTGGAGCTGCATTGAAACTTCAAATTAGAGATTTCTAGAGGAAAACTTCCTTCTCCTTGCTGACTTTGATAAAAATCAAGTTGAGAATGTTTGGCATGTTTGCTGCTGCCAAACTATTGAAGCTGCATTAAAACTTTAAATTAGAGATTTCTAGAGTATTTGATTCCCTTTAATTGAAGCCTAATAACATTAGTATCGGATTGAAATTAACAAAGTTATGAGGCAAAATGTATGCCGATGACAATTCTGGAAAAAAATAAATTTTCCATATAATGACATTAAGATCAAGGAACGTTTTATTTTATTTATTTTTTTCAAGAAAAATGTTCAAGGCATTGGATAGAAATTTAACAAACGGTTAGAGACAAGATTGAAATTGAGCTAAAAAATTGAAAACTTCCTTCTGTTTGCTCACCAAGGGGCAAATCACCTGGGAATTCTTTGCCAAAAATGTAGGGAATTTAGAGGAATTTATGGGAAATTGGAAGAATGTATATAATATGCAAAATTGCGTGTAGTGTTGATTATCGTGTCCTAGATGGCGTTAAGATCAAGATTCGCTCTTCGAATGTATATAACCTTAAAAAAAAAAAAAAACATTGAAGGACGTTTTATTTTATTTTTTTGAGGAAAGTACTTGAAGGATTGTATTGAAATTTGGCAAGTGGATGAAGAAAATATTGAAATTTGGAAAAAATAATAAAAATTTCCTTTTAATCATTCACCTTGATAAAAAGCTAAAAACTATTCAAGCTGAATTGAAATTATTTACCAAGGAATTGTAGAGGATTTAATTGGCTTTATTTCAAGTCCAATTACATTAGGATCGGATTGAAATTGACAAAGCTTTGAGGCAACATGTGTATCAATGTCATTTTGGAAAAAATCAAGCTTCCAAAAAACGACATTGAGGAGGGTTGTTTTATTTGTTTTTTTGAGGAAAGTGTTTGAACGATTGGACAAAGAAAATATTGAATTTTAGGAAAAAAAATAAAAATTTCCTTCTGATTGTTCACTTTCAAGAGGCAAACTACCTAGGAATTAGGGCCAACAATGTGGGGAATTTATAGGAATTTGTGGGGAGTTTGAAGCAATATTTGAAAAATTGAAAAAATGTATGAGAAATTGGGGAAATTTAAAGGTTTTGATACTGAGCGTAATAAAAATAGGAAAATACATTTCTTATTACAAGCAATCTTGGGGATTTTTAGGGAATTTGTAAGAGCAGAATTTGCAGAATTAGTGGAATTTTTGTGATATTTGGAAGAATTTGGAGGAATCTGGGTCAAGTTTGAGGAATTTTGCATACAAAAATCCCCTTTGAGGAATTGTTTGCACAAATTTGTGAGGGTGGTTCACCCCTTGCAAGAAATTCAATTTCCAAAAAATTACGTTGAGGGGGGTTTTATGTTCCTCAATAGAATTATGATCCCTAGTTATTACCAATATAAGTTAAATGAATAGGCCTTCGCCTTAGTGAAATCCCTATTTGATTAACTTGAAGTGCCTTGAAGTCGGCCCTATAGGATGAGAATGTTGCCTTAAGGCAATATTCGAAAATTGATTCGAATCTATGAGATCTATTTTAATGCATAGACCGATAAATGTTATCCAAGAGCGCAGCATAAAGACACACTTCACACACATCACTTATTTTTAGTCTTGTTGACTTCTGCTACCCTTCTCAAAATATACAACTCAAAAAGGTGAGAACTCACAAGGCAATCAGATACACTATCTATTCATGGGTGATATTATAATATAGCTACTTATCAACTGAATACAAAGATTTGTTAACAAATTTAATACTATAAAATCTTTGTAAAAATGATTTCTACTCTACTGAAAAAATTACCTTCTTGAATCCAATGTCGTTAGCGTATTCTCTGAAGCACTGACGGCAAAGGTTGAGCCCGTATTTCCGGATCAAACCGTGCCTGTTGGAGCAAGCTCGACTAAAATTGTAAAAAAATTATAAATTAGACATACATAACCTAAAAATTTGAAGTAATTTTTGCAATAATGCACATTATTGTATTTTAGTAGAATAGTTTGAAGTTGCGTTTGCGTTTTATTTAATAATTATAAATTTTAAAAAAATGCGGGGTTAAAATTGGACCTAGATAAGGTTTGGGGACGCACCATGAGGTGGTGACTTTGGAAGCGAATTATTCAATTATTTAGAAAAGGGGGCATATTTAAGTGACTAATAATTACCAAGATCTGGAGCCCTGTCCGTATTTACGTGGGTGAGAGTACCAAATGTTTTGGAAACCCATTTTATATTGGTTTTTTTGAAAATTTTCACAAGAGGAAAACTGTCCGCCAGCCTTTTTGTGGGCAAAAGAGAGTGAAGTTGGCCGATCGAAAAGAAAAAGAAGAGTACGTCAAATGTCATAAAATTAAAACAGGAGTGCCAACTAGCGAATAGAACACTAGAGTTACTCGCTCCGATGTTAGTCGACCCTGATTTGAAAGGAACAGCTGCACTGGCTCTCGTGCATAAATGGTTTGATTCGTGCTTGTGCACTTCAGTGCAACAAACACTTTTTGAAAGGAATAAGTGCGTAACGCCCTGGAGCTGTTCCGGAGCCCCTCGTAGGTGTGAAAGAAATACTTTAATAATGCCACCTCAAACAACCTTACCTTTAAGGTACTCTACACCAAACGAACAGTTCAGTTGCGCGTATTTAGCTTTAATGCGCACTGGAACGTGGAACGCCTATAAACAGTCCGAGACGCTCTAGAGCAGCTCAGGAGTACTCAAAGTGCGTCACTGGAAAGTGACTACACCACCACAAAAAAATTTGTCCACAAATCTGACAACACTGCAAAAAAATTGCCTACTGCATTTTCTTGTTTAGTTTTTGACACATTGACACTTGACATTTATCACCTTCCACCTTCCATCATCTATCAAATTTTCCAGTTTTTGTAAACGTAAAAGAAAAGTGAAAATAATTTTCAATATTTTTCAATAAAAATCGTTTTAATTGCGGTCGAAAGCGTCGTTTTAGGATAAATATGGCAAAAACCTACGATTATCTGTTCAAATTGTTACTGATCGGTGATTCTGGTGTAGGCAAAACTTGCGTCTTGTTTCGATTTTCAGAGGACGCCTTCAATACGACTTTTATTTCTACTATAGGTAAGCGAAAATGTTCACTTTTCTGTATAATACAATACACCCATTCAATACTATACAATTTAAGGACCAATCTCATTATTCAACAATTAATTTTTCAAAGTTTCCTCAATTAAACCACACCTTTGAAAGGACCTTTACTAATTACAACTATTCTTTATTTGATTAATTAAAAAACAACCAAATCATATGCATATCTGAAAGAAGCTCTTTGTATTTTTATTGAAAAATTGGGTGACTAATCTTGTTTTCTATTAAATTAGATGATTTACAGTGTAAAGTCAAATGCCATCATCATTCAGTATTAATTAACATTCCTTGCTTTTATATTTTGTTTATAGTGTAATTTAAGTATGAGTGTTCATGGTCTGTTAACTATCATTTTAAAAAGGAAGTTGCATGGACTCGTTTTGTTTTATTGTAGTTGGTTGACATTAATTGTCCATTGTTAACGTTCAAAAATCATTTTCTTTAAAAGATTGTGATGCAAAAAAGACTTTCTTTCTTTGCCTTTAATGCCGGGGTTACCCAAAATTCTTAATTTTTGTCCCTAATTCTTAATTTGTAAAAAGTTCAATTTATTTAACAGTGGTGCAAATGGTATCATAAGTGAATGCAAGTAAACTACATACAGTGTGTCCGTAAAGTAACGGATACATTCATTATTTTGAAAACTGTAGAATTTTTGAAAAATCGCTCTGACACGTCAATTTTGTTTTTTTGTTTGAAATTTTTTGATATATTTTTCATTATACAGGGTATAGCTCCACTGCTATCAACTTTGTTTTTTCAAATGGATCACCCTGTATATTATGACATTTATGGATTCTGCAGAAAATTGTTGACATATTTCATGTACAATGTCATATACGTATCTTCAACTGTTTTGGAAATATTGACAGTTGAAAATTGATTTTTATTTATTTATTTATTAACGGCAAGGCCAATTTACAAAAACAATCGTAAAACAATTTACAATAAATAGTTTGACAATACCTAAAGCTAAGCACTAACAATCACATCCTGTTCTTTCCCAAGTTAATACCTAACCAAAAAACATACAACTCATTTTTAAAAAACTATCCAGCAAGCAGCGGTTGCAATCTCCTCTTAAAGGCAGCAACAGAAGGACAACCAAAGATGTCAATACTCCGGCTCCTGGAGTTGGCAAACCTGAGCACCCTTGAGATCGACTCATTTATACCATAATTAGTATTATGGAATGGTACATAAAACAGGTCAGAACCTCTCACTATTCTTTCTCCTGCTCTCAAAGAAACGAGACCCAAAAGATCCGGGCAGTCAATTAACCCTCTCAAAAGTCTGTAAAGGAAGGAAAGATCCGCCTGAAGTCTCCTGCTTTTCAAGGTATGAACATTCAAGATAGCCCTCATCTCATCATAAGTATACTCATCATGAGCCAAGCCCAACCTGTCCTGTAAGCAGCCACCCTTAGAAATCTATTCTGAACCCTTTTTAGAGCTGCAATGTGAACAGCATATTGGGGTGACCAAACAACTGATGAGTATTCCAACAAGGATCGGACCATCGCACAGTACAATGTTCGCAATGTACTCACTGACATATCAGTAGTGGACCTACATATAAAGCCGAAACATCTAACAGCCCTTGATACAGTATTGGTAACATGGCCATTAAATGACATCTTGGAATCAAATTCCACACCCAAATCTCGAATGCTCACTACTTCCCTGATTGATGTGTTATTAATTGTGTAAGGGAAATTCACCGACTGGGCCAACCTGGAAAAAGTTATCCTATAACATTTGGCGATATTGAGGTCCATTTCGTTCAAGCCACACCATTTATCAAAAGAATTGATATCATATTGCAGCAGTTGTGAGTCTTCCAACGATGATACCTGACGATAAAGTTTAAGGTCATCTGCAAATGACAAAAATGAGCTGTCGGCAACAGAACTACCCACATCAGATATGAACAGATTGAATAAGACTGGTCCGCAGTGAGACCCCTGAGGAACTCCAGAAGGAACATCAAAGACCCGAGACACAACACGGCCATACCTTACTGCCTGAGTTCTCCCAACAAGAAAGTCATCAAACCAACTTAGAATTGAACCTCTCAGCCCCAAACAACCAAGCGTCCTAATGAGCAGGCGATGGTTAACCCTGTCAAAGGCTTTAGAGAAGTCCGAGTATACAGAATTGACCTGGAATCCCCTCTCCATGCTGTTCAAAATTAAATTCTGATACAAAACCAAATTTGTTGATGTTTACCCATGTAAACCCATGCTGTTCCGGATTTAAAAGGTACCTGCACTTTTAAATATTGGTTTCAGAAAGCTGAACTTCCACAAAACCGGGTAAGAACCTGTTGACAGTGAATGGTCGAAGAGACTTGCCAGGGGCGTCGCAAGGGTATACAGGCATTTCTTTATAAAGAGCAAGGGAATTCAACAACTTTACAACTTTGACAGACTGTAAAACCTGGAGGCGAACCACAAACAATCGCTATCGATAAGTTCTCGACAATTTCCCCTCACTTCTCACCTCGTCCACCCTTCGCTCAACGTTAGTTGCTAAAATTGCTTGCACCGCAAAGGTTCGTTTGTGGTGACATTTTTGGCGACTAACGTTGAGTGATGGGTGGACGAGGTGAGAAGTGAAAGGAAATTATTGAGGACTTATCGATAGCGATTGTTTGTGGTTCGCCTCCAGAACGGTTAATTTCAGAGGAAAACCGATTTTACATTCCTATCTTGGATTTTCATAAACTATGATTTGATACCAAATTTGTATTTACCAGTAGATTAAATTTAACCAGAATTTTTAATCACGGGTTAACTTCAAAGTTGGTGTCAAATGATAGTTTATGAAAATCTAAGATAGGAATGTAACATGGGTTTTCCTTTAAAATTAACCGTTCAGATTTTACAGGCTGTCAAAGTTGCAAAAAAAATCAATTTTCAACTGTCAATATTTCAGAAACAGTTGAAGATAGGTATATGACATTGTACATGAAATATGTCAAAAATTTCCCGCAGAATCCATAAATGTTACAATATGCAGGGTGATCCATTTGAAAAAACAAAGTTGATAGCAGTGGAGCTATTTTTGAGACACCCTGTATAATAAAATATATATCAAAAAATTTCAAACAAAAAAACAAAATCGACGTGTCTGAGCGATTTTTCAAAAATTCTACCATTTTCAAAATAATGAATTTATCCGTTACTTTACAGACACAGTGTATAAATAAATAAGGGAGGACAATACAATAGTATATTGTTGTATTAGGAGTAGAAGCTTTACTTTTTTGTGCTGAAGCAGTGGGTTTGCGAGCCGAACGTAGTGAGGCTTGCAATACTGCTGAAGCACAAAAAAGTGCTTCTACTGCGTATGCAACACGCTATTTTTTCTCCAAACGAATGTGGTAAGCTCGGGGGTAACTGGATGGTTGAGCGGCAGTAAAAGTACGAGCGGCACTAAAAGTACTTTTACTGCCGCTGGGGCTGCCAAGCAGCATAGAAATTAAATTTCTACCACCTTGACAGGTGTTAACCTCCTGGATTTGCCTAGCAACATAGAAATTGAATTTCTACCATCTTGACAGGTGTTGACAAAGTGATGTTTTTTTGACGTTTGGAGAAAAACAAAATTAAAGTATAGTGTATATAATATAGTATTACAGTTTGTACAGTACATCCTGAATTATTGAGTGTATAGAACCTACTAAGATGCTACTAAGTCTAGAACTGACATTCATGTCACAGTCTCCAGCAACCACATCAAAATGAAGGTACTTAATAAAATGCCTTTGGATAGACTCAGTTGCATTGGTGTAATAATTATACAGGGTGTTTGACACTATGCCGAGGGGTTAATCACTCCCCGAAATCGTGACACAACTTCGTCCGATATCCCCGAAATCTTTCCGAAATCCTACCGAAATCCTTCCGAAATTACTCTGAAATCCGCCAAAATCCCTCAGAAATCTTTCCGCAGACCCAAAAATCCCTCGCAATTGGCCCAAAATTCATAAATCGGTCAACGCGGCCGTTTTTCAGTTTATACACTTATAAGATAAGTAACAGTCTAAAATCAAATTAAAATATTTGCGAAATCATCTGATATTCTCCCTGAAATCACCAGAAATCCTTCGAAATCAACCGAAATCCCTCAAAATCGCTCTAAATCTGAAATCTTGTCACAGTGAATAATCCCTCGGAATCTTTCCGAAATCTTACCGAAATCCTACCAAAATCCTCCGAAATCCCCCGAAATCCTTCAAAATCGCTCGTAATCTGAAATCTTGTCACATTTTTCCCTTAGTGAATAACCCCTAGCACTATGCATTCCACCCAGATATTTTAACCTGGGCCCTAAAAATTTTTTAAATTTTTTTTCCAAAATTTTCAATCTGCGGATTTTAAACTGAAATAACTTTTTCCAAAATCATGAAACTGACAACATTTTTATTTTATTTTAATCTGGACTAATTCTAGAATAATACTCAATATTAGTCTCATCAAATTTTACATCTTGGGATAATATAATTTCATCATTTATTGGATTCCACAATCTATAAGGTCTGTTTCTGCAGAAATCACAAACCAGTCAGAGCGAATTTCATTGGTTGAAAACAGTCAGAAAACTGGTTAAAGCCAATGAAATTCACTCTGACTAGTTTGTGATTTCTGCAGAAATAGACCTATAGCCATTCCTGCCATATCCTATCATCCTTGCTGGAATTGCCCTTGTTTCTAGTTTATCTCCTGAATTTGGAATCTTTATTATGCATGTCAAAAACTCTTAATTTATTTGAATCAATTTTACCATACCATAGTAAATATTTGTTGGTACATCACCCTTTGATGCATTTGTCAGGGATCTGTTAAGCTGATATGCTGCTGTATGTATGGCTTTTCCCCATAAATGTCTTGGTAAGTTGGTCTCTGCAAACATAGCTCTCACCTTGTCTAATAACGTTCTATTTGCCCTTTCGCTAACTCCATTTTGCTGAGCTGTGTATGGTAATGTGTATTCGATTTGTATTGGCAAAAATCTGAAAATTCACCACCATTATTACACCTAATTCTAGAACATTTGAAACCTTTTTTTGCCTGTAGTTCTCTAATATGATTCATCAAGTTGAATCGAGCTTCACTCTTCCTTTGTAACAGATAAATTGTTGTGAAATGTGAAAAATCATCAATTATTACCCAATAATATTTCTCATTTTTACTTGTAGGTGATCTCACAGGACCTCCAATATCAGTATGCAAAAACTCTCCAATTTGGCAATTTTTGTTTCTCAAATGGCTGTCTTGTTGCTTTTCCTTCTCTACATGGACTTCATACTGTCTGGTAATGGCAGATTCAATTTTTTCATGTATTATTCTGATAGGTGTCCAAGCCTCCTATGCCATAATTCTCCTGAGTTTGTTGTATTGCTGGATAAATAACAAACTTTTTCTGAGAGTCTAAATACTGCAACATACAAATTTCTTACTGACATGCAATGAATAGATCCAACATAAAATTTGACATATTATCTTCTGAGACTAAATGGTCTGTAGCTCTACTATCTAAAATAATATTTACTTGTGCTTGTGCATGTTTTTCATTAATATTCATTGCTTCTGATGTTAGAACTTTACTTATAAACGTCAATTCTTCATCCATGGAATCCTCTTCCTCGATTATACTGTCCGCCTCTGCCTCTTCTTGTATACCTTCTTCGAAATCCTCTATATGTATATGGTCTTTCCTTATGAGTGACCTTCCATAGAAATTCCACTTGTTACAGTTTTTATGGCTGTAATCACTTTAATGTATCTATCAGGCATTGTGGGAAATAACTAACACACTTTATCTAAATTCTGAATCATCTAAAGTAGCTCCTGCGGCTTCTAACTCTCTTAGTATCTATAAAATAAATAACTTTCCAGAGCAAAATAAACCGGTAAGTAGTGAATTGTGTGCTTGAAAGCAAATTTAGCAATTTTTTGCTTGTTGATGCAAGAAATTTGAAAAAATTCTCCCAAAATCGCACGTGAATTTTTTTCCAGCTATTGTGGTCACCGAGGGATAAATCGCCAATGTATTCTAATGTACAAGCCTTGTGTGTAATCCCATGTATTCTTATGTATGCCCTATTTATTCTTATGTATTCATAACTATTCCTTTGTAATGTATTCCTTCAAAATTCTAATGTTAGGCGCGTCCTCACCACTATTTTAGGTTGTGTCATAGAAGCATGTATAAATGCAGCTTCAAATGACATTCTCAATCATATTAAGAATTACTGCTGATGAAAATGACAGCATTAATTTAGATTCGGCACTAATCATAGCCCAAAGACATAGACGATACATTATAATATGTTGATTTTAACAGAATTGAATAAGGCGAACTTGAAAACCAAGTTGAAAATCTTACTGATTAAACTATGACTCAAGAAAAAACAAATACACTAATTGGATTTGAAAGATTTCTCTAATAAATTCGCCAAAGCTGATATTACAGAACAACCTCCTCATGTTGATAAAATCCCCAAAATCACCTGTGAATTTTTTTTCAACTGAAACTTTTAGTATTTATAAAGCAAACTCTTTATGAAAAAGTGCGAAAAGTGTTTTTCTTACATTTCTAAATGATAGAGCAGGTTCAATTTAGTCAAAAACGACTCTATTATATCCCAGTGACAAATTTCAAAGAGAGAAAACATTGAAAAGAAAATCTCATTTTTGACCTGAAATTTGAATCTTATGAATAAATATTTTAATAATGAACCCTTTGAAAATTTTCACATTATTCTATGTTATTTTTGAGACTGTTAACTGGCTTTGTCAATAAGACTTGAACAATAAAGTTTATTTGAGTTTGATTCATGATAAAAAAAATTAAACACTGAAATTGAAAATCTTTCAAAAAAAAAATACCTACACCAATGAAATGGATGCAATTTTAATGACCGAGTTAGTTTACTTTGTTTTAGGAATTGATTTTAAAATAAGGACTATTGACTTAGAAGGAAAGAAAATTAAATTGCAGATATGGTAATACTCAAATAATTGAAAATTATTATAATTTGCTATTATTGGATTATTTTTATAGGGATACGGCCGGCCAAGAAAGATTCAGGACAATAACCACTGCCTACTATCGGGGTGCCATGGGTATTATGCTAGTTTATGACATAACCAATGAGAAAAGTTTTGAAAATATTAAAAATTGGATTAGGAATATTGAAGAAAACGCTTCGGCCGACGTAGAAAAGATGTTATTAGGTGAGAAGGGTTTTGTAATTCAAAACTTGTTCTGACAATAATAATTTTTTAGGTAACAAATGCGAATTGGAAGAAAAAAGACAAGTGTCTAAAGAACGAGGCGAATATTTGGCCATTGAATATGGTATTAAATTCATTGAAACCAGCGCGAAAGCTAGTATTAGAGTGGAGGAAGCTTTCTTTACTTTAGCCAAGGACATTAAAGCGAAAATGGAAAAGAAATTGGTAAGTAAAGAATTTTCAGTTAATAAGTTATTTTGATGAATTGTTTAATTGATATTTTGTTTCTATTTTTTCCTGCTCTTCATCTACTCTCGGTAGAAGGTAACTATGGTGATTTTTTTTTGGGATATAATGCTTTATATTTAGACTAGGTTCATTGCATTACTAAAATGATACATTTTCGTTTTTGATGCATTCATCTTTGTTGCAGACATGTTTCTAATGTTCAGCAAGTCTGCAATAATTTCACATTTTATTGTATATACTTTGATATAGGAATTTGTTTTTTTACATTTGTAGCTCAGAATTGTTGCTTAATTCTGATTTAAAAGGAAAACTGTAAAATCGGGTGACTTGAGACGGTTTTGGCAAGCGATATTTTCTAAATTATTTGACTTAGAGATGACTTGAAACATGTCAAAAGTGGAGTCTAAGAGCCATATTCTCCGTAGTTCATAAAGCCTGGCTTAGTGGAAAAGCTTGGCTTTGTCGTACAAAAAGCCTAGCGTTTCCAATAAGCCAGGCTTTAGGAACTACGGTGAATATGGCCCTAAGTCCGTGGAATCGATTTTCTAAATTGGGTTTTATGTAAACATAGAGTGGCCCAGGGTTTTTCGTTTTCACGAGAGGCCAAGTTGGATGACTTGAGACAACCATATAATTCATGTTTGAAACCAGAAGGACCTTTTCATCCCTTATAAATTTTTCTTATTGAAGAAAATTTAAAAGCCTAGAATAGAAAAACAAAGAAGAAACTTCATAAGAATGCAGTGGGAGGAACAGCTGAATAAGGAGTCGAGCTTACTCTTCAAAATGAAAGAAAGAGAAGCAAGAGCAAACCTTTTTTTTGGTGTGGACGAATCCATGAAGGTAAAGCCAGAGGAAAAGGTGAGAGACAAGGACACCATTAGCAAGCTTTTTGGTAGTATGAGCTTGACTTTAAGGAAGAAGCTTTACAAGCACTAAAAAATAGAAAAACCCTTGAGCAGAACGTACAAGCAGCATGTATTAAGGCCGATCAAACAGAAAAATCAAAGAAAATATCTTGAGCAAGTTGTGGTGGACTGAAGGAAAAGAAAACACTGACAATTTTCCAACAATTTTTCTACCAAATTGCAGTGATTCCATTGGTCAAAGACTCTCAGAGGTTATGCAGGAGTGTATAGAATTAGAATTACTGCCCCATCAGCCTTACATTTAACCCTTTGAAATGTATGGTAAAAGTAAGAGTGAGAGAACTTGACAGATTTATTTTTTGAAAATAATTTAATTCAACCCCTATTATATCAAAAACATTGATTAAAACATGAAAAAATACAGAGAAGAGTAACCAAAATACCACTAGAGCTACAGAACCTTACTTACACTGACAGGTTGACAAAACATTAAAAGAAATAAGACATAGAGGGGATTTAATAGAAACATACAAGATAACAAGAGGGTACTATAATTGCGATATTGGGCAAATCTTTCACCATAATCAAAACCAACAGCTTTGAGGATATTCAAAGAAACTGGACAAAGAAAAGGCTGCAAAATACCAAAGTGGGAATGCCTTATCAGAACATACAGTGACCGCCCCTATTCTAAACACATTTAAAAACCGATTAGACAGAGAACATAAACATAACACTATATTGCATAGTAGTGAGTAATACCTTCATTGGTTCTACCGCCTGTTATTGGAAAATTACAGAATTATTCCAAATATTCCATTTACCAATTTCAATGCTTTTCCACCACTTTTCACCGCAAATATATGCAAATTAAAACCAAATCGCATGTGCAGACTTGCAGAACCATAGAAAAGCAAGTATTTGGTTGGCATGTAATTTTTATCAACTACTGCTTGCACTTAACATAGATTTTTTTAAAACTAATGTATCAAATTTAATCTAGGAAGCTAGCAATCCACCTAAAGGCGGCCATCAAATACGAGCCACAGACCCACAGAAAAAGCCCACGAGTTGGTTATCGAGATGTACCCTTCTCTGACCTTATGCCCTTACAGAAATCACTTTGCAGGCATCTCAGTTGATGTGAGTATTATTTGAAATTTTTCAATAATTAATTGATTCTTGTTTAGGTCCTGCGGATAAGGAAAAAAAAAAAAAACGACGACCGGTGAGTGAGAAGTGATACAAAATTCTATTTTACTTTTCGATAATGTGCGACTCAAACCAACGAATAATAATTTACAATTTGTTTGGTTTTGGTGTTGTTAATTTAACCTGGGTTCTTTTTAAATTTTGTTTTGTTGTCCTGCCAATTTAGGTTAATTAAGGTAATTTATGTAGCATAAGTGCAATAATCAGAAACAATAGCTATCTTTCTTATTTGAAAACAAAATCTGGGCTTTTATTATTGGAGAAACATATTCATACATTAGATAAGTTGGATTGGAAGCAAATTAGTCTACACAAAACACCCTAGTTGAAATCTTGAAGTAGATTCTCAATTAACATTTACCAAAAAACACAATTCACATTGCGTTGATAAATCATCAAGATTGTTGCACTTAAGTTACTGCTTGACTTGTGATATACAAATGATATTTATAAAGCACACTTGTTGTTTACTGGATCAGATTTAGTTTTTAATTATTATCCTGATGATTATTTATTTCAATTGACACTCGAAAATATATTGTAAGACAATTTTAACTCGTTTAATGCTGTAATAAGTGTCAATTATTACATGAGGTCACACTTTAATTTGTATTTCTTTCAAAAGTGTGTGTATTCCATCTAAAATTTTTAAGTTTGTATATAAATTAAGTAATCTTGTCATATTAATGTTGTATATTTTGCAAAGTTGTATTCGATAGTGAGTAAATAAAAAATATTATATTTTAAAAGCATCAACAAATTAAATTATTTGCACAAACCCCAATAAAGGTAAATTTGTAATTCGAATTAAATGAAGTTATACAAGTTTTTGTTTATTTATGTTTTCTGCCCCTGTTTTAATAATACAAGAAACAATCTGTACATAAATTATTACAATTTTTAATATATATTATTTTTTTTATAATTTTAATAAACATCTTGGTTATAAAGAAAAACACGTTTTATTTCTTTTCATTAGAAAATGGAACATAATCACTTTTTTCGCGGACACGCTTTCAAACGTATCCTGAATGCTAAGGTATGACCTATGCAGGTATTATTTGAAAGTTTTATAAGTAAACCTGCATAGGTCATGCCTTAGCGTTCAGCATACATTTGAGATCGTCTTCGCGAAAAAAGCTAATTATTCATTCATTGTTTTTTAATTTTGTCTTGTGCCCTTTTAAACTTCCTTACCATGAATTTAAATAATTTAACTAAAATAAATGAGACACAAATTAAACTTGCCAAAAGAAAAGCACATACATCGAGCAACAAATATTTGTACCACTCTATGTCAACTGTGGGACTTCTCAGATGTTTGGTACCTTTGTGTCTTATCACGTATTCCGCCCACCAGATGGCTTTTTCCAAGCCCGTCATTGGTTCGTCTTGCATAAGGTTTTTTAGTTTTTTCATATTTTGTTTGTACCTAAAAATTGGAAAGTTTGACATAGAAGATAGATATTTTTATTGTCAGTTTTGATAATTTTTAGATGTGGACTACAAAGATAAAAATAATTTTTCAGTACAAGAAGAATTATAATCTTGCTAATATTGGCTTGAGTGGACAGTATGTTCACGATCCGATGTCCACAGGTACAGGTAAATTTATCACCTTTCCCTATCAAATAGCATTGAAAGGTGATAAATTTTACCTGTACCTGTGGACATCGGATTGTGAACGGATAATAAATTCTCATAATGAATATCAATTTTTAAAACTACCGGCGGTTGTGGCAGTATTGGTTTTTTATGTTTAATATTTATTCAGCACATCTAAAAACATGAAAAGTAGGTACTGTCTCGAACAATATTTAATAAAATTTAGTTTATATTAAATAAATAAGAAAAAAAAAGTAGAAATTCGGATTCAGCACGCCTAAACTACCTACCAATTTCCTGCACTATTTGGAAATGTTATATTTAGCAAACTATTTATAATGACAACGCTCTGCTAACAATAATAATGAAAATTCTTACTTTGGATTCTCAGCAACATCCTTAATAGCACCTATAAGTTCCTCTTTAGTCGTATTAAGATAATTAATGTGTCTTAAAACGCCCCATCTAGCCAATCTTATGCTGTTCATTTCCTGGTCAGCAATAAACGGTATTCCAACCATCGGCATTTCCCTGGCAATTGCCTCTTCTGTCGATTGTAATCCACATTGGCTTATAAATACTTTAACTTTGGGGTGAGCCAAAACGTCTTGTTGAGGTAACCATTTTCGTATAACAACGTTTTTGGGTTTTCCTGCTAGTTCTGGTTTTTCGAATTTCCATAAAACTTTATAGGGTAGTTCTTTGAATACTGTCATAAGTAGTTCTCGTACTTTTTCCGGTATATTTACGCTTTTTACGTTGGAGCCTAAACTAAAATAAATAACACCGTTTTTGGATGATTCTATTTCCTGTTTGATGTCTTCTGGTAGTGGTTTCGGAGGTTGTATATGCATAAAACTTAGCGAAACCACTGTCGGTACCATCGGTCTAGGGGTATAAAGGATAGCGTTGATGTTTAAAAATAGTGCGCTTACGTTCCTTTCGATGTCTGCTAAATAAGGTAAATTTTCGCCTAAGTATTGCTTGGCAATTGAGTCCCATTTGGGCATAGCCACGAAATTTACGTAGTATCTTGTCCATAGATAGTAGAGGGTGCTTTTGATTCGTTCGTAAAATCTATGTAAAGAATTTATTAGCAAATTTGTAGAATTGAAGCAAAAGTTCTTACGTTAAATCTCCTCCATTATAAGGCAAAAACATTTCTGAATATATAGATGGTGGATTATGGTTGCCGATAGCAAAATGTGTCCCTGTCCAGCCACCCATTGAGGACACACCGATAATAGGAGCTTTAAGTTTAGCACTCAGCGCATACATTATGGGGCTCACGTAAATCTGACTGATTATCAAATCGAATTTTTGGCTTTCGTCTGTGTAGATTTTTCGAAATTCTTCGTTTCCCAATATGGCATGAGCGAATTCGTTGTACATTCTGAATATTTTTGGGATTTTCGATTGCACAGGTAGCTAAAAAAAAAACTCATTCTTACGAAATAAACCTTTGAAAAAAAAAACTACGTTTTTGAAATTTTCAGGGAATTTTATTCCAAGGAAATTTCAGCTCCCTCATTTGAACTTAATTATAGATGCGAATCCGAAATTTTCACAGAATCTTTGTAACATATAGAGCAGGCGAATGTGAAATTTTCAGGGAATCTTATGTTCTAGTGGAGGACTGCAAACCCTGGAAATTTCAGCTCATTTTGGGTTCCAGAGATGAAATCCCCATATAAGGGAAGAGGAGGAGATTTTAACATTTTTCATTTTTTCCGCTATTTCACAATGCTTGTATGAGTAGGTATAGAGTGAAAATCTCAACATGGAAAAACTTGAAGTTGATTGAAACCTAGATTTTTTTACATTAATCTTCCCAAGAATAGATACTGTTCCTTAAATTATTGTCTATGTCTATGAGTATCTTGACCATTCAATTATCTATTATTTTTACCTCTTTGGACATGAAAAATTCAAACCCATGCCTGTGAATAATTTCATAAGTCGGCCCGCTAGTATCGATTTCCGTTAAATTAACAAACCTCGGATCGTTTATGGGATGAGGAGTGACCACAATTACTTCGTGTCCCCTAAAAATCCTCAATGTAAAAAACAGTCACATAAAAGCTGCAATCTTACCTCAAAGAAAGTTCCCTTGATATTGGTTTGAATGTAGCTTGATGACTAACTGCTGGCATTTGATAAATGCATAAGATTCTACCACTTTGGGTAGTTTTTAAAAAAAATACAAGAAAAATGTAATTTAACCACATTTTTGTAATACACAAACGCTATTAACAAAATGTATTAGGCGTCTAATCTCATGTTTAACGTTAAAATCATACAATTTGTTGATTGTACGCATGATAAATTTATAAAAACTGGAATTTGTTGTAAATAAACGCTCTTGTTATGTAAAGAGAACAGAGCCGGATTTTTCAGAGTAAAGACAAAAGTGCTTTATTTAATGATTCAATTGATTAATATTAACAATCATATCATCAGAAAAATTAAAACAATAGGTAGTAATATTAATCAGTAATTTCCTACTTTATTCTGTTAGTTTTATCGCATTATGAGGTCACACCATCATGGTCACTTTTACCTTCTTGCAAAATTGATATTTGAAGGCTATAAGTGAATAATTATTAATCATTTTCTGTTGGTTTGTGAATCGATGGTGCGCTCTTTATTTTATAGTTAAGTATACTTACATGCTAAGAAAATTATAAAAATGCTTGTAAGTATAAAAATATAAATGCTTTAATTTGCTGTAATGAATTTTTGTAGGTGAATTTTACATTTATAGGGCTCATGGCCCCAGTCTTTACAATATTTAACCCAGATTTGTAAGTAGCACACACATCTATTATTAAATTAACGGATGAATTATAAACTTGTTTTATAGCACTGTTAACACTGATAGGATTCCGCAATACGCAAACTATTTGCTTGAATCTGGAATAAATGGGATTTTAGGTAAGTTTCAACAAATTCTCAGTTAATTTTTAATTTGCAAAAGGTTTTTGTCTATAAGTAGGTACCTACTTTTAAAAAAAAATTGTTAGTTCTTATAATTAACAAATAACAAATACAATCCTGCCTAATTGTTTTCTACTCTATATTGATACAGTGCTGCTTAATAAACGCATCAAAATCCCAACTAGCAAAACTCGATTAATCATTGCTTCAATAAAACAGAAATTGTTGTACAGTTATCCATAAAGACCTTGACTCAAAACGTGAAAATCAAAATGCGTGAAGTGCATTAATAAAACCATATCTAATTTGTGTACACAAAAAATTAAATTAATCCCCGTAATGTAATATGGCAAAAATGATAGGTTTGATAAAAAAGTTTGAGGAATTTTTCCAATAATGTATCAACATCTGCAAGGAAGTCTGCCGCTGGTATCGTAAAATATTTCTGCATTTTATAGTACTAGTACTACCTAATTGAAGTACATATGTATGTACAGTATTGCTATGGCTACATTACTCCCCCTTCAACACTTAAGTGCCAGAAGACCTTAAAGGCTCATATATATTACCTACTCCTATTCCAAATGTTCAAAAATACAAAGAAACATGATTAATGATTTAGACCGATCAATGTTTTATGGACACTGTGACAAATTTCAGTGCAAGCTGGTTTTAGAAAAAAAATATTCTACGGATATTGCTTTTCACTATGTAGTGGAAAATTGAAAGAAAATAAAATTACAATAGCAGAGTGTTTTTAGATTTCAAGCGGGCATTATTTGAGACACTGGATAGAAATATTTCGTTAAACAAATTGCATGTTTATGGTTATAGAGGTAATGTAATACATAATTCTAGATTCATTCATGGATTCTACTAGTGTTATAGGTTCTTTTTCCAAATTAGTTTCGGTGATCATGTCTCATCTCATCTCTTGTAAATCCTGCAAATAAGGAGATTTCGGGCAGTAAATTCACTATTGATTATTTGTGTTGCCTTTGTAACAAAAAGTTTTTCGAATTGAGGAGTTTGTCATTAGAAAAACTCTTATTTTCAAAGACTACTTTATTAAAAGAAAATTATTAAACTTGTCAATAGAGCGTTATTAGTCTTTGTGACTTAAATTGTCCGATTTTCACACCACCCTTGAAGTACGAGCTGTTGGTTCCTTTTTTTTTTTCAAGTGGTTTTCCTATTAGGCCTAATCCACTTTCAAATTCCATTGGATGGCGCCACTGCTAAAATTACCGTAAATAGTATAATAGGCAACAAAAGGGATCCAAGACAACTATGGCATTAGGACTCCCCGGGGCCCCATGCCGGAAGATTCGGACAAATCATATGAAATGTTTTGGGAATTGTTGCACATATGTAACTTCACCGCTGAAAAATGCGTATTACCATTGATCCATAAAATTTCCATGAGCATTCCAACCAAAGATTTGTTATATTTGTTAAATTTTAAGCAAATTGAAAAATGAAATTATACACCTTTGGAAAGAGCATTAAATTCTCTATAAATCCATGCAAAATTGAGTTTGATAGTTCAGAAAGTTTTCAAGTAATTTAGCCTCAAAGTTGACTTTTAGCCTAAATTTTGTCAAAAACTTCAAACTTAATTTTCTCAAAACCTATAAACCTAGGAATATTGTAAATTACAGGTCTTTTAGAGCTTGAAAAAAGCTACAAATGCCGAAAATTTCAATGCAATTTCCTCAACTCTTACCGAGCAATTGAGGTTTGAATATTTTGAAATCAGAATTCAAAGGGGATAGATACCCTTATGAAAAAACTAGATTTTTTTATTTTTCAGTTTTGCTCAATTTTGACTTCACCAATCGATAGAGTGGGTCAAAATTAATGGAAAACAACTCTGACATCATTATCGAATGGCCATTTTAAGCAGAAACAAAAATAAAAATAAAATCCTATTTTTGGCTATGGAAAATGTTCAACATCTTGACATGGTCATGATCAATTGCCCATATCTTTGTTGAATTTCAAGGAAATTGAAATAAATTATACACCATTGGAAAGAGCATTAAATTCTCTATAAATCCATGCAAAATTGAGTTTGATAGCTCAAAAAGTTTTAAAGTAATTCAGCCTCAAAGTTGACTTTTAGTCTAAATTTTGTCAAAAACTTCAAACTCAATTTTCTTAAAACCTATAAACCTAGGAATATTGTAAATTACAGGACTTTTAGAACTTGATAAAAGCTACAAATGCCGAAAATTTCAATGCAATTTGCTTAACGGCTATTGAGCAATTGAGGTTTGAATATTTTGAAATCAGAATTCAAAGGGGATACCCTTATGAAAAACTCGATTTTTTTATTTTTCAGTTTTACTCAATTTTGACTTTACCAATCGTTAGAGTGGGTCAAAATTAGTGGAAAACAACCCTGACATCGTTTCCAAATAGCCATTTTCAGTAGAAATAAAAATAAAAAAGAAATCCTATTTTGGGCTCTGGCAAATTTTCAAAATCTTGACATGTTTTGAGCAATTGCCCATATCTTTGTTGAATTTTGAGCAAATTAAAATAAATTATATACCATTGGAAAGAGCATTAAATTCTATATAAATCCATGCAAAATTGAGTTTGATAGCTCAGAAAGTTTTTAAGTAATTCAGCCTCAAAGTTTACTTTTAGCCTAAATTTTGTCAAAAACTTCAAACTCAATTTTCTCAAAACCTATAAACCTAGGAATATTGTAAATTACAGGTTTTCTAGAGCTTTTAAAACCTACAAATGCCGAAAATCGTTAGAGTGGGTCAAAATTAGTGAAAAACAACCCTGATATCATTTCCAGATGGCCATTTTAAGCAGAAACAAAAATTTAAAAAAAAAAAATCTATTTTTCGCTATTTTTGACACCTTGACATAGTCATGAACAATTGCCCATACCTTTGTTAAATTTCAAGGAAATTGAAATAAATTATGTACCATTGGAAAGAGCAATAAATTCTCTATAAATCCATGTAAAATTGAATTTGATATCTCAAATAGTTTCTGAGCAATCAAGCTTCAAATTTGACTTTTAGTTCAAGTTTTGTCACAAGCTTCCAACTCAATTAATTCAAAAACTATAAATCTGGGAATATTGTAAATTACAAGCCATTTAGAACTTAATAAGAGCTACAAATGCTGTAAATTTCAATGCAATTTGCCCAACAATTACCGAGCAATCGAGGTTTGAAAATTTTGAAATTAAAATTCAAAGGGGAGTTATGAAAATTAGATTTTTTGAAGTGAAACTTTTTAAGTCGCGGTCTGACATTTGGACGAGAATGGAGAGTGATCTAATAGGCGCGTCACGCTTTTAAAAATTTCGTTACAGGAGAGAGAAGAGAGTCTGTACTTATTCAAGATTCGAAAATGTTTGTCATATTTTCATATTGGGTAAAATAGTTGTCGACTGTAAAAAAATATTGCAATCATTATTATTTAAAGAAAATCAAGAAACTTTATTCATTAAAAGTAGGTACCTACCTATAACCTATAGGTACTCAAAATACCTCAAACAAAATACTTGACATAATCAAGTAAAAGTTCAAGTACCTATTTTTATTCTAGAATAGATACCTATTGAAAGTACAGGTATAAGTACATAACAAAAAAAGTACCTAATTCAAGTAAAATACCTAAAGTACTTATACGTAATTGAAGTAGAATTTCAAGTATTGACACCTTTGCTTGAAATGTTCCTCTTGTGAAATAATCTTCTTCAAACAAGAACATTTCCGATACCATATAGAAACATGATCACTTGACTCTTCATCTGAAAAACACAAAAACAATTTTGCCTGGCAAAGTTGAAACGCATTCAGCTATTCTATTAAAGCCGCATTAGGCTAAATTCACTTAAAACCACCTTGTGCAGCTGATACCCAACAGCAAATCATAATTCAACAATTTCTCGCCGGCATTCGGTAGTGCCCCACTGCTACACTTACCTTATATAGTGTAATCGTGCAACAAATGGGATCCTAACCTATTATGGTGGACGGCCTCCCCAGGGGACACCAATTACCAAAAAAAAAAAATAATCAAACCATGATTTGTTGCCCTGGATATCAGTGAACCGCAAGTGTGAGTTAGAAAATTACTTTTTTAGACACAGCGTTGATCTGAATTTTCTATAAATCAACCAGATAACTATGGAATGATGACCTAGCTGGAAAGACCTGAAAACATCTTGAGATCTGGTAGGCTGTCTGATAATAATGATGATATATCAACCTTCACTAGACACAAAAAAAAAAATTCTTGCACTGGTTCCCTTGGTGGAATAATCTCCTTTAAACAATAACCATCAACCTTCTTATACCAGAAACAATAAAGCGATATAGGACCTTTGTTCATTTTAAAATATGTATGAAAAAACTTCTCCAATCCTGATTATTTTCAATTCATTATTAAAAATAGAAAACTGTAGGGCGCCTTTCTAGAATTTTTATTCTTGTTTGATAATGAAATTTTACTTTTTAACTAATAGTTCAGGAAAATATGACAAAATATATACTTATAGAACATAAAAATACATACTTCAATACTAAACTCACCCATTGAGAAGTAGCTTCAACGTCTTGGTCCTGTATCACACCTTTCAACACTTATATTATCAAATTCATCAATTGTTCACACTCCAATCTTGTACGTAGATTTCCTGGAGATTCCTTTCCCATTTTTGTGCAGGTTTAAACATGCTAACCACAAGGTTTTATCGATTTTTAAGATTTTACCAAAAAAATTGAGGGTTTTTCATTCAGGAATTGATCAAAAATATGCAAATTCAAATCAGAATTTTCAGTAGCCTTTTAGAACAATTGGGAAACTTCAAAGTCATTTTAGAACAATTAGGATTCAATTTAGAACTTTTAGAAATCTTTTGAATCAATTTAGCACACTAAAATACTTAAAAATCTGTCAGGACAATTAAAAAATTACTGAAAAACTTCTAGAATACTCCAGAACACTTCAGAACTTCATTATAAGTTATTTAGAACGTTCCAAGATAGTTTCTAACAGCATTTTGATAGGCTTCAGAACAGTTTTGAAACCTCAGATTTTTCCAATTATGTCAGAGATAGATACATAGGTAGCAAGCTGGAATTTTCAGAGAATCTGATTCCAGTGAAGGCCAAAAAACTCTGAAAATTATCTTGAGTTATAGTTCCAGAGAAAAAGCTTAACGGGAAAAAATTTGAAATTCATAAGGATTCCTAAGTTAAATTTCTATGAACTATAAAAAGCCACATCTAATCCTGATAATTTAGAATGTAGTTGTATATTAAAGGACTAAAAATCTACAAATTTTGCCTTAGAATGTGCATATCTTTCCACTTGCTCATTTGAAAACAAGAAGAAAGTTAATTTAATTTAATTTAATTTTTAACAACTATCAAATTTCTTCAAAATTATTGTTTACAAACTACAAACATTTCCTAGACAGTCCAGTTTTCATGTGACTCAAATTAAACAAAATAAAAATTGAGAGAAAAATTAAAAATTTGATTGATTTTTTTTCAGTTGCAGCAACTACAGGCGAAGGCACCTCACTGTCAGTACAAGAACGAAAAAATCTAACAGAATCTTGGGCTTCAGCAGTAAAAACGACCCGTCAACACCTTATGGTCCAAGTAGGCGGAGCCCCCTTTCCCGACGTAGTGGATTTGGCCCGCCACGCAGACAACTTACGAGTCGATTCAATACTAACAATGCCAGAATTATACTTCAAACCAAAAAATCCTCAGGAATTGATAAGCTATTTGAAGTTTGTTAGTGCAGCCGCCCCAAATACTCCTTTGTTCTACTACCACAATCCTGGACATACCGGTGTAAACAGTAAGCGAGATTTTTTGTTTAGGATTTGTAAAACAATTTTCCATTTGCAGTTGACATGGCAGAATTCCTAGAACAGGCTTCCAATCAAATTCCAAACCTCAAAGGAATCAAGTATACTTCGAATGATTTGGCTAAAGGATATGCGGCTTTGAGGGCTGCAAAAGGCAAATTTACTGTTTTTATTGGAGGAGATTATGTAAGCAATTTAAACTATTTTAGGTACAGTAGAACCCCAATTATCAAATTCACTTTGGATCAACCGAGCCAATCTAAAGACTCAAAAATCCTGAATATCTGAGGTGGGTACCCCCCATATTACCTCGGATAACCAGAGGGTTCTACAGTAATCATAAAATAATTACTTTTTTAGTTACTTGAGCCTGCATTTGCTACCGGTTTCACCTCAGCCACAGCCGCATCAATAAATGTGTTTCCACGTTATTCTGTTGAAATGTTGGCAGCGATTAAACAAGCAAAATTAGACACGGCTTTAGAATTGCAACAAAATTTAACAAGAATTTTGAATATTGTTACAAAATATGGTAAAAACTATTCATCAATATTTATCAATTACCTACTAATGTTATTTAATATTCTAGGATCTAGAGTGTCTGGATTGAAATTGGCGATGAATCTTTTTACACCAATTAATGTTGGATTGGCCAGGCCGCCTCTACAAAATCCCAATCCCAGCAAAATAGAAGAAATTAAAACTCTATTGGAACCGTTTATATAAATATTCCTACACACAGAGATTGTATGACTGAATAAAACTGTTTTGTTAATTAAATAAAAAGTTCAATAATTTAATAAATATATTTTATTTGCTTTATCCAAATAATTATGTTTCATCATCTATCATACATTATTTTGTACCCCTGCAAGTCACACAAATATAACAATTAAATACAACATAATATAATAAAGACACCTCTCGAAACGTTTTATTTTCTCCTGTGATTAGAAATTATTGTAAACATATTTTCTGCAGTTTATAAATTCATGCTAGATAAATCTACTCTGAATCGTTTTTGTTTTTTTTTGGCATTTCAGTGATTTCGCCTACGATAGCGATTTCCTTTTTTGGTATTTTTCGACTTAGCACCATTAACATGCTCACTTTTACCCTCAGTCTTTCGTCCTTCCCCTTTTTCCGGTTCTTTTTGGTTTATGTCCACTGATTGACTGTTGATTACTTCACTAGACACTCCAGTATCCATTACTTCAATCGAATCTGAACATGCCATTCGATAATATAAACTTCAAATATCACAAACTTTATACTCACCCTCATTTACACCATTACAAAGCACATTCTCACTGACAAGTGATTCAAGCGGTGCATCTCCTTTCTCATTAGCCATCATTGGACTTTGCTGACTCATAGTTGTATTTATTGTTTCATTTTCAGCCTCGGGTTCAATATAAATAGTTGGACCACCACCATAGATATTATGGAAAAACTCCCAAATTGATTCCGGCACCTCAGCGGCTTCATCCGTATCGATATTTTTTGAATCAATTTTCGTATTATCTATAGGACCTGGTGGTTCCGAACTTTTTTTTTGGACGAAGGCGTGCCATTGTAGGTACCAAGAAGTGGACAGGTAGTGAGTGTGAGGCCAACCCTCTGCTTGAGTTTTACGACTAACCTAAATTGGAGTTTTACGGTTTAAGAGTGTTATAATGACAATCAAAAACACTGTACCTCCAAAAACGATTCCATTTCGTTCATTATCCGTTGCTGTAAAGCCGAACAAGCAGGGCAGATTACTGGATTTGCAATTGGTGGACAACCTCCGAACCGTTTGTGAAGGTAATCGTAAGCTTCTAGAGGAACTTCAAGGGATAAGTGCTCTAGAATCAACTCTTTTTCTGGATCGAACGCACCGTGCTGGCATAAAAAGTCCGAGTTATCGATTGGACCTGGTTCTACGTTGTGATAGAATCTAGAGACATAGTTTGGTTATTTTTTGTGAAAATTAATGAAGTTGGTAATGGACAAAGCTCTGCGATATCCAGATTGGACCCTACTGGACTTTTTCTTTAACTACAGATTTCCATAAACTCATGGATTAAACAAGGTAGTAAGCCAGTTTTTTTAATGACACACATACACAATTATCCCTTGATAGCGGTGCAAATGGCCATTAGAATGTTTTTGTTTTTTGTTTGTATTGCCAGTTTTATATTTAATGATTGTATTTGAATTTGATGTGCAATGTTAATTAATTGTTTTTCTGTGTTTTTTAAAAAAATAATAGATAATGTTAAGATGACTTATATGTAACTCCAAGATGTAATTAGTTATAATAGCTAAATAAACGATTACAACAACATATTCTGACCATAATTTTTATTGATGCAAATGACTCCTATAAGATAACTGCACTATATAAATTTTCAAATTTACCTGTTCATCCATTGTCTGGATATATGTATCATTTTAAGTTCACTCCCTTTCCGTTCAGCCTCCTCAGCCATTTTAGTGACTTTATGTCTGACTGCTTCCGCACTGCTTTGATTTTTCCTGTAGAAAGCAAAAGTCAGATAAATAATGAAGTCAAGAATCCAAAATTTTTAGCACAAAATCAACAATAAGATTAAAACAATAAAGGCATAGTTAATGGAATTTCCAAAGATAATTATTAATTAGGTACCCAAACTCTACATCTCACCCAAATCTAATTATTGTGAACAGGCCAATAAAATTCGAATGAGCTATGTGACTATGGGATGGTTCTCGAAAACCTTTGTCTGCCCTGAATGCTCAGGTAGGTAAGGTAGGTTTATTCTTATTTCTTATGGATCAAATAGAAAAATAATTTTTCCTCAGTACAGAATGGCAATTTTATGGTGTGTTTGTCAACTTTCCTGTTCCATTAATAAAAATTCTGATTTGAGAATTGATATTTGTTTGATCCTCTGTAATGTGGAATGCTTTATGCAGTGGGTATTTTTTGACATGAAACGCTCTTGCTGGTAAATATAGCTTGTGAAGAAGACTTAATGCATGGTAGAAACGTCGGCATAATTTTTTCAGAAAGGCAGTTTCATTTCTTATTTCTGAAGTCCTAAACCCATTATCTCTGCTCTGGTCGTCATATGTTATGTATATTTTGAAAATTTGGTATAAATTTTTTTCAAGACTATCAAAACCAAGACCACATCTATTTTTCGAGACCAAAACCAAGACTAGCCTGTGTTGGTTTTGGTCTTGCGAAGACCTACAGGAAGAGTATAAATGACTAAAATATTCATTTTGCATGAAGTATTTTCTAATGTAGTGCAGAGACCGCATGTTTTTTGCTGATAATTTGAAACCTTTGGTAATCCAGGGTTTCTTGCTTCCTTTCCTTGCCTTAGCGCTTCTAAAGGAAATGAATTATCGAAGATTGGTAATCAATGGCTACGTTCACCAGAACCAAAACGGATTGTAAACAGTTTTTTTACTGTTAAAGAGCTTTATTAATCCCAAGAAGAAATTACAAGATTATTCTTATTTTAGGAATTAGCTTAATCTAAAAAAAAATAACCCTTATATTAAACAATGATATGATGTGATGATGGCGCTTCACAACTATCTAGCAGCAGCATAATATTCAACAGATACTAACTATTATCACAAGTTGAGGAACACAAAAGAAAAAAAAAAAAATATATATATATATATATTTACATATAAAACAAATAAATATTTTTAGTAACATCCAACATAATGTAGGTACATAATATGATCCATGAGAGAACAACACACATTTAATAATTTTACAATTTTCGCATCACAAATTCCTTTAACTTTCTTCTAAACAAAGTTTGCCTATCAATATTTCTTATAGCCACTGGTAGGCTATTATATAATTTTATACCTTTATGGTAAATAGATTTTAAACCTATTCCTGATTTCACCTTTGGCAAATATATATCATTCATTCTCCTAGTATAGTGATCATGTACGGTTTGAACAGTAACAAATGTTATTATTGACTTTTTCTCTTTTTTAACTATATAATAAATATACAACATTGTCTTATAACTATAAATTTGGTTAATATTAAAGAATTTATAAATTTCATACAAGTTCTTAGTATGATATCGAAAGGGAAGTTTAAAAACATTTTTTATAGCTTTATTTTGGAGAGTTCTCAAGGGATTTAAAATGTAGTCGGCTGCCGTGCCCCAGACTGTTATTAGATAATGCAAGTGGCTATAAACATGTGCATAATAGAGCTGTTTTCTCAATTTTTCAGTCAACAGATGTCCAACTTTGTACAGAATCCCTACAAAAGGTGCAATTTTTTTCCTAACATGACCAATATGTGCTGCCCACGACAGTATACTATCTATGAAAAGACCAACAATAACTTATTACAGAAACATTTTGTAATTGCTGACTCTCAAACACTATGTTATGGCATTTATTATTTAAATTTTTCCTACCTAAAAACATATATGACGATTTATCCATGTTAGCTGTCAATTTGTGAGACTTCAACCACACACTTATTATGGATAAATCTTCACTGATGTCGGACTTAATAGACTCAACACTCCTACCATAATACACCAATGTTGTGTCGTCTGCATACAATTTTATTTTACCCCTTAATGAAAGTCTCCCAATAGAATTAATATAAATTAAAAACAATGTGGGGCCTAGAACTGATCCTTGAGGAACCCCGCACCTGATCAATTGTAAATTGCTGTTAGCATTATTTGCATTCACAAATTGCCTTCTGTTCTGCAGATAGTTTCTGAACCAGAAGTACGGAATTCCTCTAATACCTGCCTCCTCCAACCTTAACAGTAAAATCTCATGGTCTACAGTGTCAAATGCCTTCTGCAAATCCAAAGACACCAGAGAACAGATATTTCCACTGTCTATTTTTATTTGTAAATCTGAGATAAGATCTATGACTGCTGTCTCGGTGTCCTTGCCTTTGCAGAAGCCATACTGACCCTCATATAGAAACCCAAACCTATCCAAGAAAGATTGAAGTCTCTTGTTCACACAAACTTCCAATATTCTGGAGAAAACCGGAAGAACGGATACTGGTCGATAATTGGAAGGCAGTTCATAGTCCCCCTTTTTGTAGAGAGGCTTAACTCTAGCTATCTTCATCTTGTCAGGTATTGCAGCACTTTGCAGAGAGAGATTGATGATTTTCACTAAGATAATTGAGCACTCTGTCTTTAGTCTTTGAACACTTTCTACTGTGATGTTGTCCGCTCCACACGCCTTGTTTCTGTCCATTGTGCTGATAATCGTTTCTACTTCTGCTAGTGAAACTGGCTTGAAAAAGAAAGAGTCCTTGACACCATGAGACCTTTCCACAGGCATGTGTTGAATGTTTTTTGACAAATCGGGACCAACATTAATAAAAAACTCATTAAATGCCTTTGAAATTTCAACAGCATCCGTTAGCATGATATCATTTTGTTTCAATGCTGGGATCACCTGCGCTGTCTGCTCTTTGTTGTGCAATATTCTGTTGACTGTGTTCCATGTTTTTTTTCCATTCCCAAGGTTCCGTTTAAATTCTGCATTATAGTATCGTTTCTTTTCATATTTTACTTGTTTTTTTACCCTTTCACTGTACTCTTTGTGTTTATTTTTATAATAATTGGTATCATGCTTTCTAAGCTTTTTGAAGTAGTGATCTCTTTTCTTAATTAATGAGATAACTTTCTGGTTTATCCATTCCTTCCCAGTGACTTTACATACCTCTTTGACCTGAACGTATCTGCAATTTACAAAAATATCCTCCAATCTATCATACAGTAATACTGGGTCAGTATATTGGGCCAAATTATCGATAAGTTGTACAAGTGTGTTCTGTGCTTCCAAGTAATTTACATTTTGATATACCTTATATTTTTTCTCTGGTGCTCCATAAGTTTGTTTTGCTTTAGGTAAACTCAGGACTTGCAGCATATGATCACTAAGGCAATGATCAATTAGTGCCAACTTGGAGTTACTTGCAAAATTCGTAAAGTTCACAAATACCAACAGAATATGTTGGGTAAACTCTTGGTTCTGCTGAACGATTCAACTTTTCAATGATAGAACGTCGCCTTCTAAATGACAGGTCACCACACAAAACACAGTGTTGAAAATTATAAACACTCTGAAATTATGCTTGCAAAAATGGCGACCGATTGCAAAACATGTTGCGCAAAAATTAACCCTTAAACTGTTTGAAAACTAAATTTGAATAAATAAACCCTAATAGGCCTAGGACACCCTTAAGGAATGCGGCCAGCGCAACACAATGCTCGCGGCTATTCAGTCAGTGTGGGAGTAGGTTCAATATTCAAAGTTAGCTTTATAGGGCGCCACTGGTTTACGAAATAAAATCCGCGGACCTAAACCAGAAAGTCCCTGATGTTTAGATTTGCAATTACATTCCAGAGGCCAATAGAAGGTAATATATATAATAACACAGTATATATTAATAAATGTAATTATCAAAATTAATAAAAGGTAGCAAGGACCAATTTGTATTGGTCTTATAAAAGAGACTCCAATAAATTCAAGATTTACCAATAAATGTTTGACCACCATACTCCAATGGGAGCAAAAGAGAACAATTAATGAATAAAAGATTAATAATATTAATTAAAACCTGTGCCACACTTATACCATGGTATACCGGGGCGAGTTTGTACAAAAATGTTACCTTAAATATAGTAAATTAATAATCACTGGTACAGTACGCCCATTGTAATAATGAAGGCGGTAAAACAGGCTTAGAAATGTACCAAATTAAATATAAGAAATACTATTAATAATAATTAAAAAAAAGAATAATTAAGAAACATTAATAAATCAACGGGTACATCACCCCCTTTTGGTCCTCCCTGCAGTCTAAACATACATTTCCATTACTGTCTTATGACAGCCTCACAGCCGTGATAACAGACCCCATCGACCTCTTGACTTCCCTTATTAAATTGGGTAACTTTCGGTTTCAGATTCAGTGCTGTGGGTACCCTAACAACCCAACTTCAAGACTAGCAAACCGTTGAAAGGGAAAAACCCAATGGATAAATAACCATAAAAAAAAAGAAAAATAAATGGCCCCACGTTGGGCGCCAATCTTTTATGATACGACTCTAAAGGATTTTCAACGCTTAAAATGTTATGCCATTGTGAAATATAACAATTTTACTACGATAGTTCTCACGTGAATAAATCCTATACCTTTACGTTCAATTCTCTTAGATAACTTACAAGTAATAGTATCATGGTCAAACAACCCCGCTGGTATAACTTTACACTCAACCATATAATCTATTAAAGTAGACGAATTTGGTATATTTTGGGGTGGGAAAATCCACAAACATTTTTATATTAAAAGAATCTAATAATTCTATAAGTTTCTGACGGTTATTCATGAGTTTTCTAGATAATTAATATAGAGGTTTTCACACAAAATAATATGACAGTGAACAGGTAACTGTGATTATTCCACTCATGTGTTAGACATCCCATAAAACAAGTGACGATTTTCAGAATTACAGCAAAAA